GTTAACTTTACTTGCCAGCCATGTTGAGGGCTTTGAGTACCAGGAGATGCCCTCACAGGTACGAGCGACTCGGGGAGGATCCCACCATTAGCTTGTTGGAAGTGAAGCTGAAGAGGGCAACCAGTTTGCCAACCCGAGTACTCGGTTCTGGATCGGTGAAACCAATATCTGAGACAATTGCTCAAGTGAAACAGAAGCAGTCAAAGAAAGGTAACAACAAAGGGGGACACCCTCTTTTCAGTTTCTTTGATTTTCGCCGCAAGAGGAAGTCAACAGCGAAGCCTGAATTTGCAAGGTATGTAGAGTATGTGAAGGAAGGTGGACTATGGGATCTGAAAGCAAATGCTCCTGTAATCTACTTTAAATGATCTAATTCTTCTTTGGTTCTAAATTTTACAAGGAAGATTGAAATTATCAACAGTCTTCTGTCCAAGTTCTTCCCTTGTTTTTTTCTTTTGAATATGTTACAGAGCTTTGAGGTTAAAAATCGAGTTGCCTCTAATCTTTCCCTTCTTATAATTATAAAGTTATTTGTTTCTGGACTTTGGTGCATCGTATTCACTTATACACATTTGTATTAACAAACAGCTAAAAGCTTAATTATTCGATTCCTTCTAAAAAGTAAAATGCCAACTTTGACTTTTGTAATCCTTTGACCTCACCTACCCATTTCGTAATTTCACATTTCGATTTTCATTTATTTGTTTTTGGAATTTCTTTCTGGTAACACGTAGAAGTGACATCTTCATGCATTGTTTTTGGCCGTTTGATAAATTACATCCAGAATTTTTAAACACATTCAATGGCATCACATTGAACTATATACTCAGTCTAATGTTGTAATTTTAATTCTCTAAATTATGCTAATTTGTGCATTAACATTAATTTCAATAATGTGGAATTAATTATGGAACAATTTGTCAAAATTTATAAATTTTATAAAAAGAATAAAATTAGGTATGTCTTTATGGTTTCAATTATAATAAAAACAGGATAAAAATGGTAAGATATTCATAATTTGAAAGTTAAAGATGGTAATATCCATCCAAAATTAAAAGTTAATTTTTTTTTTTAGTCACAAGTGAGCGTACACCACGAAATTGAGGCAATTTTAAAAGAAGGCACGCTTTTCAATACAAAAATGTTGGACGAAAACGACACCGTACTGGATGGTTCTTCTTTTCTGAAAAATATGTATTCCAGGACAGCCCCTTGTCTAGACAAGACGTTGGGGAAAAGCTGATGCGAAAACTCCAAAACATTCTCCCTCGAACGGGGTTCCCGAAGAGCAGGGAAGGGCTATTCCGACCTTTCCACACCCAGTCAATGCCACGGCCAAAAAGGGCAAAAAGGGCAAAAAAGAGAAAAAAGTGGTGGCCATAATATTAATAATAATATGATTTATAAAGAAGATTGAAGAGGAGAAGAGAGAGGAAGAAGGGTTTCAAATATTTGCGGAGAAGTTGACTGCGTGTGCGACAAGGCGGAGAGGGAGAGGAAGAGGAAGAGGAAGAGGAAGAGGAAGAGGCGGTTTTTGCGACCTCTAAGCACCAAAAAAAAAAAGAAAAAAGAAAAAAAGAAGAAGAAGAGTAAGAAGAAGCTTGGAGAGAAGGCTTTCAAGTTCTCTCTCTCTTGTTTCTCTCTCTTGACCTCCTATTTATTTTCATCCTCTTCTTATCAACGTCGAGGAAGAGTCTAGAGGAATCGAATCGATACTGTTAATGATACTTTCTGTCATCTCTGGCAGCTGCTTATCGACTCCTTCCCGGTCCTCTACTTTCGTCCTCGTCTCTTGCACCTAGGGTTTTTAACGCCGCCGCCTTCTTCTTCAAAGAGGTACTTTCTTCTCTGTGTTTGTTTATTAATTTCGTTTCGAGTGATTTTGTTGGATACTTGAACTAGGGGTATGGAGAATCGTGTTTTGGGATTTCTTTTTTTTGGGTTTTGGGTTTTGGGTTTAGGTTGCGTCTGAGCATCCTTGATGGGGTTTATTGGGATTTTTTCTTTCTTTGTTTAATTTGATTTTTTCGTACGATTACCTTTGGGGGTTATCTTTGTTTTGAAACCTTCTCATGCTTGGTTGGAGGTTAATCTGTGTGATTTTAAAGGATTTATCTGTTTTGAGTTATTTTTTTCACTTGAAGCTTCATTTTTGGTGTGATTACTTTGTTCCGTAGCTAGCTCTTAAGACTTACGGCTGACTATTTATGATTTTTTTTTTTTGTTTAAATTCTTTTGTATTTTATAATTCCAAGGTTTTGTATTTTAAGATTTCGCTGAATGGGACTACTACGGGATGTCTTTACTTGAGCAATGTTTTGTTTTAATTTAGAGCAATTCGATTGAGGTTTTGGCATCATTATATACTCACTAGTTTTGCTGCACGTTCAAATGCAGAATCATGCCAACATTCACTACAATTGCATTGGAAAGGTTGTTAGAACCTGGAACTTCCAGGTCTGTCGATAAGTCCCTTCCTAAACCTAAGCCTTCTCTGAACTCCGGCCGTGCTCCAAGCACGAAGTTGGAGAGGAGAAATAGCCCATCAGTTGCTGACAGAAAAATTCAGCGGCCTCAAATAAAGCCAGCACTATATGCCACTCCAGAGGCAACTCCTCTTCCGGATTCACCATCTTCATTCCCTCCTTCCCCTTATATTGTCAATCACAAGCGGCGTGGGCCTCGTCTCTTGAAGAGTTTCTCTGAGGACGATGTCTCTTCTCGCAAAAAGATGAATGATAAGGATATAGGAAATGGGAACGTGAAGGGTACAGATAGCAATGATGTAAAGTTGACTGAGGGTGCTTCTGTTATTGTAGACATACCTATTCCAGATGGACACAGAAATGGTCTAGATTGCGCTAGTAGTAGTCATGTTGGTCAAAATGGGAGTGTTGATGATGATCATGGTGCTGCAGGTGTCCAACTTGCGAGCAATCACAGTAATCATGGAAGTAGTATAATGATAAGTAATGGTGTTACTCGGGAAAAGGATTCACTGAAAGTTGTGTCAAATTCAGAAAGTGTGGGAGATACTGAAGACTTCTTTGACCCACAGGATTCTTTGAGTGTTGCAAGTAACACAGATGGAGAGGATAATGGTATTGAACGTTCAGCTAAAATCGGTACTCAGTTTTATGATGCTTTGGAAGGTAAACATGACTCAATAAATGAAAAGGTTATTCTGATATATTTTGTGATTGCAATAGTTAATCCTACTCTTTGTTCTTGTGCGTAATTATGAAATTTACCGTTTGGTGGTATTCCATTTATTTTAATGTTCTTAAGGTAACTGTATCCGAAATTGCATAGCATATGCTTCTTTTGTAGTTAGGTTGGATTAATGGATATGTTATGATGAAATGTAGAAATCATGCATGTTGAAAGCTTGGATATGGGATGAAATATTGAATTTTTTACTCTTGAGTTACCTAAGAACTACATAAATAAATTGTCATTGCAAACTTGAAGTCAACTTGAATACTGTATGACCTAGTTTCTTTCTGCAGCGCTTTCTTCCGAGGGTTTGCCACAACCTTATATTTCTGACATTGAAGCTGAGTTATGTGAAATGAAATTAACACTATCGATGGAGCTGGAGAAGCGAAAGCAGGCCGAGGAAATACTGGATAAATTCCGGGGCCAGTGGCAGAGGCTTAGAGAGCAGCTATTGCTTGTAGGATTGACCCTTCCTTCAGATTCCACAGTAGCCACAGAAGGGAAGCAGTTAGATTCTGATCCTGCTGAAGAATTGTGCCAACAAGTTTATCTTGCTAGGTTTGTGTCAGATTCTATTGGAAGAGGTATAGCGAGGGCAGAGGTGGAAACTGAGATGGAAGCGCAGCTTGAAGTGAAGAATTTTGAGATTGCTCGATTGCTGGACCGGCTCCATTACTATGAGGCAGCAAATCATGAAATGTCCCAAAGGAATCAAGAAGCTGTAGGTAAGAACCTTGTGAACCTTGGCTGGTATTTCGTAATTCAAGTCACTCAATGTTGATGTCTTGACCTCCTCATTCCTTTTCATTTTTGTTTTATTGTTCTAAAGGGGGTTGTGGGCGTCGAAAGCGTTTGCTATATTGTGTGTTTTGTGTTACTCCTAGTCTTTGTTCCCTGGACTTCTTACTCGCTAGTTGCTACGACTTCAGATATTTATCAAACTTCTTTCTAATATATACAGAGAAATAGTGACTGGTTAGATTACTGTAATGACCAGTTTAGAATTTTTGTGCAGATAAATAAGGCTTCCAATTAAGAGGGGCATGATAGGAATAATTATTAGTTAGGAGGCGTGGTTTTTCAAAGGGTCATTCTTACATGCAAAGTAAGGGATGAGGGCCTAGACCAGTCATTGGATTCATTTAGTCGACATGGGGCATGATAGAAATAATTATTAGTTAGGAGGTGTAGTCTTCCAAAGGATCATTCCTACATGCAAAGAAAGGGGTGTAAGGGATGAAGGCCTAGGCCAGTCATTGGATTCATTTTAGTCGACATGTGTTCAAATTTCAATCCCTATGATCTACCTCTTCTGCTTGATTTCCCTGTTCTCCTTGGTTACGTGTCAAATGTCTGTACTGTTGGCTAAGCTTTACCTGTGTTTATTTGGTTTCCAGATTTAGCGCGACGCGAGAGGTTGAGAAGGAAAAGGAGGCAAAGATGGATCTGGGGTTCGGTTGCCACTGCGATCACGTTAGGTACTGTAGTCTTAGCCTGGTCATACCTTCCATCGGGAAAAGATTTGCCATCCAGCAACAATTCGAAGGCCATTGAGCATGATGATGCAACAGTTTGATGACCGCCGATACAAGACTTAGATTATGTACCATGTTATAGAAAGGAAAAATAAAAAGGAGCCATACATCATATACATCTGGTATAATGTTGATATCAATTGCCTGCTTTATCTGAAGTATTGGCATGCCCACGGTATAGTTCTTATAAATGGTCGGCCCTTGTAATTAAAGATGAAAGGGGTTGATTCTTGATTTTTTATTATTTTTTTTCTTTCGCAGACCTAACAGGGTTATAACACCTGAAATTTTTGGCAATTCATGCAATGATATACAGTGTAGAAATATTTGGTTGAGAATCAAATAAGTATTTGGAGAGAGGACTTGGAACTCTGTGATGAACTCTGAATAATGGTTACTGTAATCCCTTCCACTACAGCACAGAGAGGGAGACAATATCTTTCAGTTTGAAGGCATGATGTGGATGTATCCATGCGTTGTTTAATGAATAAGGCTTTTAATGCTCGCAGGTGATGCAATGAATGAGAGTTGTGTTCAGATAAATTGAAGGTTTTAAGACAGTGATGTTTCCTGAAGTTGGGGATTGGCTTCATGCCTTGTTAGCATGTTAGTGGGTCTATTTAGGTGCATCTCTCTTGATTTGACCTATCAGTTTAAAATAGTTGAAACTAGTTTCACTGACCATCTTCCTTGTATTATATAGTCGATTTTTTAATTTTTTCAATGCATAAGGTTCTATTTATGATTGGATAGAAGCATAATATAATGTGATTCACAAGTCTACTGTAGATATTGTTCTATTTGAGATTTTTCTTTCGAGTTTCCTTTCAAGGTTAAAAGAAAAATGCTTCGCTCTTCTTTTCAGCCGATGTGGCATCTCACAATCCAAACCCTTTGGAGGTCAGTGTCCTCATTGCACACCGCCTGATATTTGACTCTAAATATCAAACACAAAATGAAAGCGTTATCCTAACCTAATGAAATGGTGAGATTTATTGGCTTACTACATGCAAATAACGAATAAGGAAGAAGAAACCTTCATGGGCGGTGGGAAGTACTGATAGCACCTGTTGACACTCTGTTTTACTGCTGGGAGAAATGTGGGACAGCCATTTTTTAAAAACTGTACATCAATGCTGTGCCCTCCAAACAAGATCTACCTTTAGTGGGATTTACATTGCTTCCATTCTTGTACTATTTTCTTTACCAAATTTTGTCGGTAGGAGAATCAGGGATTTGATTACGATCTGATTCAGCTATAAATTGGCCTAAACTTCCCACAATTAGAAGCCCAAATATGCCTAATGCCTGCAGTGTTCATGCATAATCATGGATTCCAAAGTAACAGTCAAATTTGCCAGACGACAAAGCTTCTTCTACTGAAAGATACTATCTTTATTCCACCGGCGGACTGTAGTTTTTTCAGTTGTCTTTATATTGCTTTTTCTAGCGGTTGATAAGAAGACAAACTCTTAGCTTCTGATAAAGCCAACTGCTTGAGCATCTCTCCATCCATTATTGCCAGAAAGTAGCCAACGCTGTTCCACTCCCATTGGTAGAAACAGAAGAACAGACATGAAGCTTTGGGGTTTGGCTCCCTTATTGGCCCTTTTCATTCATGGTGTTGCAGGAGATGGCTTTGTCAAAACTGGAGGAATTCGTTTTCTGTTGAATGGCAGTCCTTATTATGCAAACGGCTTCAATGCTTACTGGCTGATGTACGTCGCCTCTGATTCATCTCAGAGGTCGAAAGTCTCCGCTGCATTTCGTGAGGCATCGAGCCATGGCCTTACTGTTGCAAGAACTTGGGCTTTCAGTGATGGTGGATATAGACCTCTTCAATACTCTCCTGGCAATTACAATGAACAAATGTTTCAGGTATCTTTCAGGATTCAGACAAATGTTGCTGTGTTCTATCCTTCTTGTTTTTGCTTCATTCAACCTTTTCTTTTACAGGGAATGGACTTTGTTATAGCTGAGGCCAGAAGATTTGGAATCAAGCTGATATTGAGCTTAGTTAACAACTATGAAAATTTTGGAGGGAAAAAGCAGTATGTAAATTGGGCAAGAAGTTACGGGCAGTTCCTGAATTCTGATGATGATTTCTTCAGAAACCCAGTTGTGAAGGGATTCTACAAGAATCATATCAGGGTAAGTTAAATTATCATAGAAAAAAGGAGCAAAGGAAATTTGGGACCCTGAAGATGTCTGACAATTTCATGTTTTTCAGACCGTTCTGAACAGATACAACAGCTTCACAAGAATTCATTACAAGGATGATCCGACAATAATGGCATGGGAGCTTATGAATGAGCCTAGATGCATATCAGACCCATCTGGAAGCACAATCCAGGTGAGTTCTAGCTTTCGCTTTCATGGGTTCATTGAAGCTGATGCATTTATTGTATGTGAAAAAGGGTTCATTGAAGCTTACACTGTTGGTTTAAATATAGGCTTGGATCATGGAAATGGCTTCCTTTGTGAAGTCAATTGATAGAAACCACTTGCTGGAAGCTGGTTTAGAAGGGTTCTATGGACACTCATCACCTCAGCGAATGAGCGTCAACCCAGGTTCTTCTAACATTGGTACAGATTTCATAGCCAACAACAGAGTCCCTGGCATAGATTTTGCCACTCTTCATTCCTATCCTGATCAATGGCTATCAAGCTCAAATGAGCAATACCAGATTTCGTTCCTAAACAATTGGATTTCAGCCCACATACAAGATGCAGAGAATATTCTACACAAGCCAATTCTCCTCGCAGAATTTGGAAAATCATGGAAGGTTCCAGGTTTCAGCACAAACGGAAGGGACCTTCTATTCAACACAGTATACTATAAAATATATTCATCGGCGAGAAGGGGTGGCGCCGCTGCCGGAGGCCTCTTCTGGCAGCTACTGACGGAAGGAATGGATTCTTTTCGCGACGGATACGAAATAGTCCTGAGCCAAAACCTTTCAACAGCGAACGTGATTACTCAACAATCTCGCAGACTCTATCAAATCAGAAGGATTTTCGCTAGAATGAGAAACATCGAGAAGTGGAAGAGGGCAAGGGCCGCAAGGGGCAAACGAATCGGAAATTGAAAAAATTAATAACTTACCTGCAAAATGGAGAATCTGGGTTCGTGTTCTAATGGAGGATGGAGGGATTTCGGGCAATGGTTTCTGTCTTTGAGATGAATCGTCTTTCGTCCAGGAGGAAAGCTGAAACTTTTTTGTGGTTTTTGATCTGGGGTTTGGATGTTTTTATAGATATGAACTACATAGATCATAAGAAATAACAGAGTTCGAGATGGAGTCGGTTGTCAATTTCATATACAGTGTGTTTGCTGGTTTGTGATTTTGTTTGGAGTGTTGTAACTTATTTGAATATCTAATAGAGTTTTTACTATGAATCCTTGAATGATATAATACTCAATTATGCATCATCTTGTTGTTTAGTATCAAATTAAGCATAGGTAACAGATGACTTTAAAGATTATACTTGATTAAAAAGTTATGCTCATTGCTTTAATGGAAGTGAGAGGAAGGAGAAGAGGGAAAAAAAAAAAAAAAAAAAAGAAAGAAATCTGTTGACTCTTGTTAAAATTGGGAAAGAATATTTTAAATATGAGATATTTGGACATAATTTTTTAGGTCATCGGTAAAGAAGGCAACCAGATCACCGACCGCCCATGCACCAGAGAATATTTTGAGAAATTTGTTAGGAGCTTTTTTTTTATGGGTAATTAGAATGTCCCTTCAAATTTGTTCAGCAAAATAACTCAATCTATTCAAATTACTGTTTCCAATCTTACTTGATCAACTTTTGATGCAGGCACTGTTATTCGGCTCCAGTTCTTGGTGCCTGGAAAGTGTCCACAATGTTCGTGGCCCTTCTCAGACATCATGATCTTATTCCGTCGGCCTCACATTTGGAGAAATTTTACAGTTTTGGCACTCGCCGGAACGGAGACGAAGGATTATCCTCATCATCTAAATACAAAATTGGAATCTTTAATCGTGAACACTCATTTCGCAAATCAGGTAGATTTGGCCGAAGTTAACAGCGAGTTGAAAAAATTAGTGAGAACCAGTCAGTTGAAAGATGCACGCGACATGTTTGATAAAATGCCTCAAAGGGATGGGGTTTCGTGGACTAATATTATTTCTGGGTATGTCAATGCCTCAGACTCCACTGAAGCCTTGCTTTTGTTCTCTAAGATGTGGCTTCAGTCTGAGCTCCGAATTGATCCCTTTGTGCTTAGTCTTGGTTTTAAGGCTTGTGGGCTCGGTTTGAATTGTTCTTATGGTACAAATTTGCATGGGTTTTCAATCAAAACAGGTCTAGTAAACTCTGTTTTCGTGGGTAGCGCTCTTCTTGACATGTATATGAAAATTGGAGAAGTTGGGAGAAGTTGTGAAGTGTTCGATGAAATGCCCACAAGAAATACTGTGACTTGGACGGCAGTTATAACTGGGCTTGTTCGTGCTGGTTATAACGAGAAAGGTCTGGCTTACTTTTCTGAAATGGGGAGGTCGAAGGTGGAATATGACTCGTATGCATATGCTATAGCATTGAAGGCCAGTGCTGATTCAGGTGCACTGAATCATGGAAGAGCAATTCATACACAGACATTGAAGAAAGGATTCGATGAGAGCTCCTTCGTGGCCAATTCGCTGGCTACCATGTATAACAAATGTGGTAAGCTAGATTATGGTTTGTATATGCTTGGAAAGATGAGAGCTCCCGATGTTGTTTCGTGGACGACAATGGTAACGACCTACGTTCAAATGGGTAAGGAGGAATGCGGGATTCAAGCATTTAGAAGAATGCAGGACAGCAATGTGATTCCAAATGAATATACATTTGCTGCTGTTATCTCTGGTTGTGCCAATCTTGCACGGTTGAAGTGGGGGGAACAGCTACATGCTCATGTTTTACGTGTGGGGTTTCTGAATGCTTTGTCAGTTGCTAATTCTATCATGACCATGTACTCAAAATGTGGGGAGTTAGCTTCAGTTTCAAAGCTATTTTGTTCCATGAATTTTAAAGATGTCATTACTTGGAGCACTATAATTGCAGCATATTCTCAAGTAGGCTATGGCAAAGAAGCTTTCGAGTATCTATCACAGATGAGAAGCGAAGGATCGAAACCAAACGAGTTTGCCCTGGCTAGCGTTCTTAGTGTATGTGGAAGTATGGCGATTCTCGAGCAGGGGAAGCAATTACATGCTCATGTTTTGTCTGTTGGGTTAGAACAAACAGCCATGGTATGTAGTGCCCTTATTATTATGTACGCAAAATGTGGGAGCATCACGGAAGCTTCTAAAATATTTATGGATTCAGTGAAAGATGATATTATTTCATGGACAGCTATGATCAGTGGGTATGCGGAACATGGGCATAGCCAAGAAGCCATTGAATTGTTTGAAAGTATCCAAAAGGTTGGTTTGAGACCAGACTCGGTGACCTTCATTGGCGTTCTTACTGCGTGTAGCCATGCAGGAATGGCTGACCTTGGCTTCCACTACTTCAACTCAATGAGTAAAGATTATCACATCACTCCTTCAAAAGAACACTATGGATGCATGATTGATCTTCTTTGTCGAGCAGGGCGATTAAATGACGCAGAGAGCTTGATCAAAAGCATGCCATTTCAACCGGACGATGTAGTCTGGTCTACTTTGCTGAGGGCATGTAGAATACATGGTGATGTTGATTGTGGACAACGTGCTGCTGCAGAAGTTCTAAAGTTAAACCCAAATTGTGCTGGGACTCACATAACCTTAGCAAACATTTTTGCGGCTAAGGGAAAGTGGAAGGAAGCAGCAAATATAAGAATGATAATGAAATCAAAGGGAGTGGTTAAGGAGCCAGGATGGTCTTCGATAAAGCTCAAGGATAGCGTTTTCGCGTTCGTTGCTGGAGATCGTTCTCCGCCACAAGGAGAAGACATATACAGAATGCTGGAGGAGTTGGCTTCAGGAATGGAAATCTATATTCTTGAATTGAACCATTTAGTTACTGATATGGAGGAATAGCAGAAGATTATATTAAATAGAATAGAACAAGTGAAAGTTTGAAGCTTGGAAGAGATTTGTATTCTTCAAAGATCTTTCATAAATGTACAGATGCCTTTTAGGCCTTTTTTTTATTTCCTATAAGCCATTGAATGATTCAATCAAATCTACATCCTATCTGCCTTCATGAACACAATTCCCATCATCTAAAGGCGAGATCAGCGGTTGTTCACCTGTACATGTGACTACACCGATTTTTCATCCTTGAACCAATTGTTTAAGACATAGATAACAAAGCCTACGCAGAACCCAGAAGCTCCGACGGCCACAACAATTTGAACCCACAAATTTGCTGAAAAAGCTTCACTAACCACAGCCTTCCAGAACAAATACCATAAAATGGCGAAGGAACCACCCAAAACAGAGCCTACCAAAACCTGGCTGATAGTATGGAGTTTCTGTGAGACTCGTAGCCATGACTGTCAAACACAGGAGAGGAAGAAAATAAGACTTCCAATCTTTTAACCATTATCTTCAGCCAGGTCCAAATAAAAAGAGAAGATATGAGAATATACTTACAAAATATGAACCAAATATGAAGGAAAGTCCACAGACAGACAATGACATTGCATTAACACCCAGCCATTCCACCGCTGCACAACATCAGAAGTAGTGTTCAAAATGATGTTTTCATACATAAATTTTGGATTACAAGTTTTAGAGAATGAATGAGACTCGGAAATACAATTTTCTAGGTAACGACAACTCTTGTGAGATCCCACGGGTCAAAGAGGGGAACAAAGCATTCTTTACAAGGGTGTGAAAACCTCAACCTAACAGACGCGTTTTAAAACCTTGATGAGAAGCCCGAAAGAAAAAAAGCCCAAAGAAGAGAATATTTGCTAGCGGTAGGCTTGGACTGTTACAAATGATATCAAAGCCAGACACCGGCGGTGTGCCAACGAGGATGCTGGGCCCCCAAATGGGGTGGATTGTGAGATCCCACATCGGTTGGAGAGGAGAACGAAGCATTCCTTAACGAAGCATTCCTTGTAAGGGTGTCGAAACCAAACCCTAATAGACGGGTTTTAAAACATTGAGAGAAAGTCCAAAGAAGACAATATTTGTTAGCGGTGGGTTTGGGCTGTTACAACTCTTCCATTTGATCCCACAACCTTAACTCGATAAAGATCAGATTTTAATGAATAAAAGGAGAAGAATAGGAATATGGTGTTGGGGTTCCCAACAACATGTTATTCTGAACCTGAAGAAATTACACTTCAAAGTCTTGGGTTCTAAATTTGAAAACTTCATGCCTTACAGCATAGGTTGTCTCTCATGGTTGGCCAAGAATGAGCAAAGTTTTCTTGGAGATTAATGGTGTGTGCCATAAGCATAATTCAAAAAGAGCCAGAAATTGTCTTTGAATTAGAAAGTGCTCGAACCATGTGTAACTGAACCATTCAATCAAATTCCTCAGCTAAAACTTTGAAACTTGAAGTTCTACAGCTTGATACCAAGAAGGAAGAGCAAATCATAATGGAGAATGGAAAGTCATTTCACACGACTAAACTGCGGAAGTTTTAACACTCAATTACCTGACAGAGCGGCGAATATTACAATGAAGAATATGGATTGTGCATGAGAAGAGGGCATTCCAGGATCAGGTCTCAATGTGGCAATAGGCCGCTCTTGGTTTAGTATCCTTTTCAGTACAATAGAAAGTATAGCATTAATGACAGATCCCATGGCAGTCCACAAAGCTTCGGCATCATGCCTCAAAAGAATTATGGCAGCAAAGAGGGAAGCTACAAGCCACTTGCTCTGGAAACAAACAACAACAACAACAATGCTATTGAACAATACAGCTAGTCCCAAATTAACAAAATCATGCGGGTTTGGAAAGATCGTAACAAAGATATGGAGGGGTGCATTAAGTATACAATTTACAACTAACCAACAAAATCGCCCAAGTTTTTGTTCAAGCATCAACTTTAAAATGATTCGAGGCAATAAAAAATTGGTGTCCAGACAGTGGTTAAAAAGCCTACGATGCTGCAGACGAAAGCAAGAAATGAAGGAAAAACTAGCAAAATTGACCAACCAGCTTATTGAGTAAGGCCTCCAGCCCACCAGCCGCAATCTCAGGATGAAATTCAGAAGACCCATCAAAGAACGACTCTGTCTCTAAGCTTCCAAAGCCCTCATCTCCATTGGCACACCTAATAGAAGAAGTTCTAGTCAATTCAGCCATACCGCAACAACCCCAAACTCCGTTCCTCCGAATTAAAGCTTCCTTCAAGACAAACCCACGAACGAAAACAAGATTCAATGGAGGGATTTCAAGAGACGATGCGGGTTTAAGGGAATGAAGCTTCAAAATTCTATCGGTAGAGAAAGTTTTGAAAGAAGGGTGAAAATTCGAGGCGATTGACGGCGGCATTTGGGTCGAAGCCGAAGAGGGTGTCAAAGGCATTCTAAAAAGGCAACAAAGAATAGCGGGGAAATCAAGGGTTCTAGATTCCATAAACGCTGAATTTTTTTGGTTAAAGAGGATGCGAGGAAGCATCCAGGGCCGTCACAGCTTCTCGGGCGATGTCTCATTGTGTGGCTGGTTGCTAAACAAGCAGTCAAAGAAACAAATTTTTAATAGCCACTCGGCGGCAAAGCATTCACCAAATTCGTGGAATTCAAGTTGGCATCAAATTGTGTTAAATAGTCGACGAAAAGCTGAAGAACATCGACTGGCTCTGTCAGTTTCTATAAAACGCTACAGACCACAGTTTTATTAATTGAATATATTTGGGCAACAAAAAATAGAACATATTTTGCAAATGCTATTATGCATTTAAATCACCAATTTTATTAATCAGTATAACAATTTTAAAATTGTACCATAAATCAAATTATGGTCAGGTCCCAATTTAATACATTACCAACCCTAATGAATTCAACGACAATAAACTAAAAAATTAATATTTCAAAATAAATAAGTAAAATTTTAAATTTAATAACAAAAATGTACAAGAAAATTATCGACCGTTTAAATTTAGTATATCAATCAAATAGTTTAGAATAATAATATACAAATATAAAGCTAACATTTTATATGGGCCAAATCTAATATTTAAAGGCCCATTTTACATTGTCGCCGAAGAACTATTTTGAGCCCAATGGGCTTTCACAAATGGTACAAAGCCCGAATTCAGTCACGGTAGGCCCATTAAGAAACTTGGAAGGCCCAGTTAGTGTGCTCTCATTCTCAGCGAGAAAGTAAAACGTGTAATAAATCAGATGCTTTTCTTTTTTAAAATATTAAAGACCCTTTTTGATTTGTTAAAGAAGGGAAAAGAAAAGAGAGTGAACAGCGAAAGCTTCTCCGGCAACGGCTTCTCATATATTCCGTTCAACTTTCCCCCTCCGGTGAGAAATATAAAGCTTCTTTATTTCACATTCAAATATAAAGCTCCTCAAAAGAAACTTCTCATTTTATTCGCACAACCAACAAAGCTTCCTCTGAACATATCACGGCCGTGGAAATGACACCCACCAAACGAATCCCTGTTTTGCTTCTGGACAGAGCTTTTTCCCAGAAAAGAAAGAAACCCATCTGAAAAATCCTGCTCATTAACTATTCGAAGAAAGTTCAAACAATAAAGGGAAGAAAAGGGAATAAAGGCATTTTTTTCCCCCTGCTTTAAACCATGCTTTCGTTGAACCCCATTTCACACTTTTCTCTTCGCAATGAAAACAGAGGAAGTTGAAGCAATGGGACTCTCCGATCATCTCCGAACCTTACTGAAGTTTTTTCGGTTTACAGAGGTTTTTGCGGCGATGGCATTGCTCGTTTGGACGTTTAGCCGCCTCCCTTTGATTCTCAGAGTTTCAAGCGATTACATTTCTCAAATCTCCGGTTATTTTACAAGTCCGGTTTTCGGCTTCATGCTCTGCAACACCATTATCATCGCTTTAATTGCCAAGCCCCACCGCTTCTCCGGCGAAAAATTCACCGGTGACAATGTTGAAACGGAGCTCGTAAACGAACTGGTAAAAGACGGGGCTCTTACGTCTCTGTCTTTGCCTGGGAGTGAGCCGAATGGGCGGCTCTGCTCTGATGTAGAGCTTGAGGAGATCGCGTACGAGGACAAAGAGGTAATTTCAGAGGTGAGCTCAACAACGGCGGCGGCCTTCACTGAAGAAATAGAGGATTTCAGTTCGGGATCGGAGAAATTGAAGTTAGCATGGAGCGAATTCGGTGGAGGAGAGTTCGAGCGAGCAGAGGTAGAGGAGGAGGCGATTTGGGGAGGAGGGGTTTTGCCGGAAAGTGTACGGCAGGGGGAGGAGCTGAGCAATAAGGAGTTTGAGCGAAGGATCGACGCGTTCATTGCACGAGAGTTGAGGTTTCGCTGGGAAGAATCGGGCGCCGTCGTCCTCCCAACTGGAAGTTGCCTCCGAGGTTAATTTCAGTTTGAATATAATGAATATAAAAGTAAATAAAATAAATATGTTCATTTACACTTCATGTGGAAATCAACATGAAATAGCCTGAATTTCTCACTAAAATAAAATTTTAAAATTCCAAAAATATTTCCACAACATCAACTCAACTAAGAACACCCATTAATTTAAATTCTAAACAATTTTATTGTAAATAATTTTATACAAACATACAAATCTAGCTAGATCCAATGCCGGTAGATATTGTCCTTTTTGAATTTTCCTGAAGCTTTAAAAGCTTTTTTTTATTGTTAGTGCCCCCAACATATTGTCCTCTTTCGGTTTTCCTCACATTTTTAGGTCGGTTATCATCGTTGCCTCTCCCTTAGTGTACTCTCGAGCTTTCAGAAACGATCTAGCCCGAGCCTTTTTGTATTAACATAATGCCACCGAGCCTTTGTTGCAGTCCGGGCTACTGAATCCGCTTCTTTTTGGTACCAACAACGAGGAATTGTTTGCCCCCGAAAAGCCCGAAAACAGCCTGATCTTCTATCATTTTATGCGCCCTAGAGTACCTTCAGGGCCCAATGTTCTCACTAGCACTCTTTCCTTCCTCCAATCAACGTGGGACCGCCCCCAAATCCATCCTCCCCAACCAATAATATGGGACATCACAATTCACCCCCCTTGGGGCCCAATGTCCTCACAAGCACACCCCCTTTGGGGCCTAGCGTTCTTATTGACACACCGTCTCGTGTCTATCAATGTGGGACCGCCCCCAAATCCACCCTCTTTGAGGCCTAGCATCCTTACTGACACACCGTCTCGTGTCTACCCCTTCGGGGAAAAGCGAGAAGATTGGAACATCGTCCGATGTCTGACTCTAATACCATTTGTAACAGCCCTAGATTCACTGCTTAGCAGATATTGTTTTCTTTGAGCTTCCCTCAAGGTTTTAAAATGCTTCTGTCATTAGAAGTTTTCTACATCCTTATAAAAGGTGGTTTGCTCCCCTCCCCAACCAATACCAATGTGAAACATTACAATAGTAATCCACCGAACATAATGGTCTCTTTTCAAAGACAAGAACAACTATTAATTTAAATTCTAAAATTTGTGGTGGTTAATAATTTCATAAAGATAGGATAGCCTTCCAGAGTACAGAACTTCGAATACATTTCAATGCAACATGGCCTGAACTACACATTTCCATTTGCATATCGTATGGAAACAACGAAATAACTCACCATTCCATTGCATCAAGAATGACTTACATAGAACCACATCATATTATCATTATTTTTTTTAATCATTTTATATTCTAACGAGAGAAACAGTGAGATTGATGAACTCAATCTTTTTGTTGGCCATCTCATCCTTAACAACTTTTCTGTACCTATCAAATAGTTGTTCCATAATGGGTTCTCCAAAGTGAGGGATCATAAGTGGTTCCATCACAGATCTAATGCACTTTGCAATGTTATAACTGCTATCAACACCCACATCCACACTTGATGAATCAATATTGTAGAAGTTCCAATCAATTCTAGACACTTCAAGACGCTTTATCATGAAGCTTCCTTCCTTTTGGATTTCTTCTTTTATTTCCTGTGGAGTTGGCATGAAGTTGGGTATGTTGAATCTAACCATTTTCTCCTTTTCCACCATCCCCTGTAATCCCAAATCATATCACTAATGAATGAGTCAAAATAAAAAATGCAAACTTTAAGCAATGTTTCTTTATTCACCTCTGCAACCATTTTGTTGAGAGCTAAATTCAAGAGATGATAAGCGTAACAATAATTTTTGTCTGTTCTTCCTAACAGTGTAAGAGCCATTCCTCCACCTGCTACCACTTCTTCTCCCCGACACTTCAAAAACAATGAAAAATCCTTTTGAAATTGCCTGTGAAACGCCTCAATCACATTCTCTGGACTTGTACTGTCTATGAATATGTTCCCTTTGTTTTCCATCTCCATCCCTTCAGGAGCCTTTCAATTTCATACTTGATAGTTAATAAAATATATATATATATATATTATTATTATTATTATTATTTTGTAGAGAATAAGATTTTGAAAATCACCTGGGAGAGCCAATGGAGACTGTAAGAAGAATGAACAAAATGCAAAGTTTTGTCGGGAAAGAGCCTGCCATAAAAAGAACCCGGCACGCCATTGAAGAAACATGGCCCAAACTCACCTCCAATTTGGGCCTTCAAATTGTCCAACAAACCGGGCAAGGATCTAAAGATGGCATTGAAATCGTTTGCAGGGAGATCGTTGAAGAAGATTTGATAGCGGAGTGATTGGTTAGGAAGGTTTCGATAAAAGTGGTGAAGTTGTTTGATTAAATTGGAGACAATCATAAGGGTGTTAGGCCCCGAAGCACACCCCAAATCTGCGATGGCGAAAGTGGTTGGAATGTTGTGAGTGCAGAAATCTTGAAGGGCTTCCTTTATGATAGGCCATGCAGTGGATATTGCCTTTTGCTAATACAATCACAATCATAAATAAATAAAAGAAGTTTAGTGCAAAAGTAGTATTAATTTTGAAAATGTAAAAAAAAAAAAAAGAAGACCTGAAGTAAGGAGTTCTTGGCATAGCTGAGGTCCCCAACTCCTGAATTCATATGGAGTACTTTCATAGCTTCTATTTCTGTGTGCACTTCTCAAGGTGTGGGAGAGATGCGTTACTTATAATTCCCTTATCAACCCACTGCCATAGAAATTTAAAGCATTGGTGGTTTATGTTATAGTCGTGATTCATGCTTAATTATGGAATAATATTTAAAGAGGGTGTCAATAATAGTTTCTTCAAAAGACAGACATGTCAGCCGATGAAATGCTAATTGATGACTTCCTCTACATAACACAGTCACCACAGCTCATACAAACTTCCTTTTCATCCACACTTCCGCCCATCTTCCTGGATTCCAAATGCAAAGCTGGAGTTGGCTATTCATAACAAAAGGATAGCGCGTTATATGAAAATGGTCGGTCGCAAGTTGCAGGCCGAGTTTAAACGCAAACTAAGGGAGGCTGCATGAAATTCAGCTTTGCATGCATGTGGGTCACATGTCCCCTGTCCCTATGGTTCAGCTGACGTTATGGGCGCCAAGTTTATTTATGCACGCATCGAGTAAGGATGGATAGTTTAGATTCATTTGGAACCAATAATAATTTATTGTATAGTTGAGATTGATTGGAAACTTTATAAGCTAAGAATAATATGTTGAGTTTATAATTAATATATTGGATAATTTAGATTGATCGGTGCTTCATAAATTAAAATTAATATATTAGATAGTTTAGATGGATCAAAAACTTAAGTTGTTATCATTGAAATTCAGAAAATGTGGTTATAGTTTTTATTTTGTTTCAAAATTAGAATTTCAATAATACTCTTACATTTTTTTAAAATAAAAAACTTTTCATTTAAAAAATATTTTAAAATTTATTTTACATCATGGTACAATATTGTCTACTTCAACCATAAGCTCTCATAGCTTTACTTTGAGCTTCTCCAAAATGCCTCGTACTAATGGAGATAATATTTTTTCTATTATAAACTCATGATCATTCCCTAGACTAACCAATGTAAGACTTTCATCCAACACCTCCCTTCTAACAAAGTACGGCTCCCCTTAATCGAGGCTCAAATCCTTTGTCTTTTGGAGTATTAGTCTTTTTTACTATGCCTTCGAGGCGGGAGGCTCGACTCCTTTTCTTTTAAAGTTCTTTGTTCGACATTTGAAGATTCTATTGACATGGCTAAGTTTAATGTATGACTCTGATACCATGTTAAATGAACACGACTCTCTACAATAATATGATATTTGTCCACTTTGAGCATAAGTTCTCATAAGCTGTCATAAGCTATTATGCTCAAAGTAGACAATATCATACCATTGTGGAAAGTCGTGTTCATCTAATAAATTTCATTCGCCTTCCTCCCCGTTGTCCCGTTCTTACGCAATTAAAATAAATTCAAAACATCACTACAAAATTCCTCAAAGTCCAAAAAACAAATTGTTTCTTCAAGATGGAGCAAAGTGATGAATCACTATATACGAAAATAATGGATAAAAGATATAAATCAATTTATTTTAGTGGGAGAAGCAGTGAGGTTGACGAACTCAATTGCAATCTTGGAAGCACAACTGGTTTCCTCCCTCCATTGACATGGAATTGAATGCTCTCTCAAAATCTTAAATGCTTGCTATAGGGTTGGATTAAGATACCCTATTTAATGGTTCCATCGCAGATCTAATGCATTTTGCAAAACTATAACTGCTGTCAACACCCACACCCACACTTGATGCATCAATTTCAGTAGTATCAGAATTTTTAAGGGAATCAAAAGTTCAAATCATAGACTTTACTCAAAAGGGACAATATAATGTTATTGTGGAGATTGAATTTGTACCTCTGAAACCATGTCGATGAGAGCCAAATTTAAGAACTCCCAAGCGTAACAACACTCCTTGTTCACTCGATCTTCACATGTTCTTGCCGAGCTTGTTAGAACCATGTGCCCACCCACCACCAATTCCTCGGCACGACAATTCAAAAACGTAGAAAAATCCTTTTGAAATTGGCAATGATAGGCTTCTTGTACTGCCTTCGGGCTCGTGTCCGATATGAAAATGTTGCCTTTATTGCTTTCAACCCCTTCCGGAACCTAACCAAATTGGTGGAAACACGAAGGAAGTTCAATCAATTTGGATTATGGGCTAATAAGGAGGCTCTTCTCCAAAGGGGGTAAATATGAGACGGTGCGCCAGTAAGAACGCTGGACCCCAAAGGGAATGGATTGATGTCCTACATTGGTTGGAGAGGAGAACAAAATACCCTTTATAAGCTTGGAGAAACTTTCCCCTTGTAGATGCATTTTAAAGCCTTGAGGGAAAACCCAAATGGAAAAACCTAAAGATGACAATATTTGCTAGTAAGTAGTGGATCTAGTTCCTTATACCAATACCAATATTTACCAAAATTTCACATATTGTTAGAACACAACTTTTTCAAATTTTCAGGAACAAAAGCTTACCTGGCGTAGCCAATGGAGACTATAAGAAGAATGAACAAAGTGCAAACTTGCACGAGGGAAAAGCCTGGCGTAGAAAGAACCAGGAACACCGGTGAAGAAGCATGGACCAAGATGATGATTTCCTATGTGGGTCTTCAAGATAAGTCATGGATTGCAGAGGATATTGGATACAAACAAAGTAGGGTTTAGATCCCTTCTTAGTGGTATAAGGGTTTTTGGGAAACGATATCCCTCCATCCAGCTTTTTATGCATGTGGCTCACATGACCGCTGTCCCTATAGCCTTGTTGCCTCGAGATAAGTCATGGATTACAGAGCATACAAACAAAGTAGGGTTTAGATCCCTTCTTAGTGGTATGTAAAATCCAATATGTAGTTTTCCATCCATTTAAATTATACTATAAAGTTGTCATATATTATTCTTATTCCATAAAGTTTTTAGTCAATCTAAACTATGCATTAAATTATTGGTAGCTTATAAATTTCTAGAAACTATGTAGAATATTATGCTCATGTAAATATAGCTTATCTATAATATAATTAAATATATTATAATTTCGAAGCTAAAATATTAATTTTTTTAATTATTAATAAATTCGAATTTATTTAATTAAATTCAATTTAAAATCAATCCCACCCATAAATTTAAATTAATCTGAGTTGGATTGATCAAGTTTTTTAAATTAACAATTTTTTTTAACACTGATATAAATTTATAGGTAAATGAGGCTTAATTTAAACCGTTTTTAGACTGAATTAAATTATTAAATAATAAATTGTAGTGCCAATAATAAGTTAAAAAATGGAGCAACCACGTCCATATATCCAAAGCTACTTTATTTGTGTGGTTTATAATCGAAGAATTTTTCAAATGAAATGATTCATACCTGCTTAAAATATTCTCAATATGGATAATGAAGAATTTTATTATCACTTTTAAAACAAAATCAAATATAAAAAATTTGAAAGTTTACAAATTAAAAATTTAAATGCGTTGTGTTTTTAGTTTTAGTATTATCCTTGAGGAAGAAAAAATAAATTAGTTAATATTTGGACTAAATTGTAATATTAAAATTTGAATTTTAAAGATTATGGGGTAGAGTATTATATATGTATATAAGAAATATATTAATTTATTAAAATATTTTAAGGGGAAATATTTAAACCACTAGAAAACATTTAAATATGTATGCAGTGGGTAGGCGAAGGGAATTATAAATAAGGTGTCTCTCCCACGGCTTGAGAAGCACAGACAGAGAAATGGAAGCTATAAAAATACTCCACACCAACTCAGGAGTCGGCCACGACAGCTACGCCAAGAACTCCTTACTTCAGGTCTTCCTTTTTTTTTTTTTTACATTTTCAAAATTAATACTGCTTTTGCACTAAACTTCTTTTATTTATTTATGATTGTGATTGTATTAGCAAAAGGCAATATCCACTGCATGGCCTATCATAAAGGAAGCCCTTCAAGATTTCTGCACTCACAACATTCCAACCACTTTCGCCATCGCAGATTTGGGGTGTGCTTCGGGGCCTAACACCCTTATGATTGTCTCCAATTTAATCAAACAACTTCACCACTTTTATCAAAACCTTCCTAAACAATCACTCCACTATCAAGTCTTCTTCAACGATCTCCCTGCAAACGATTTCAATCTCATCTTTAGATCCTTGCCAGATTTCTTGGAAAATTTGAAGACCCAAATTGGAGATGATTTTGGGCCATGTTTCTTCAATGGCGTGCCGGGTTCTTTTTATGGCAGGCTCTTTCCCAACAAAAGTTTGCATTTTGTTCATTCTTCTTCCAGTCTCCATTGGCTCTCCCAGGTGAATTTCAAAATCTCATCCTCTATAAAATAATAATAATAATAATAATAATATATATATATTTGATTAACTATCAAGTATGAAATTGAAAGGCTCCTGAAGGGATGGAGATGGAAAACAAAGGGAACATATTCATAGACAGTACAAGTCCAGAGAATGTGATTGAAGGGTTTCGCCGGCAATTTCAAAAGGATTTTTCGGTGTTTTTGAAGTGTCGGGCAGAAGAAGTGGTGGCAGGTGGAGGAATGGTCGTTACAATGTTAGGAAGAACAGCCAAAGAACATTGTTATGCTTTTGAACTCTTCAATTTGGCCATGAAGAAGATGGTTGCAGAGGTGAAAACATTGCATTTGATTGAGTAATAAAATGGTGGAAATGGTATTTATTAGTGTTATGATTTGGACTTACAGGGGATGGTGGAAGAGGAGAAAGTGGATAGATTCAATATGCCAATTTTCATGCCAACTCCAGAGGAAGTAAAAGCAGAAATCCACAAGGAAGGAAGCTTCATGATAAAGCGTCTTGAAGTCTTGAGAACCCGTTGGAACTTGTACAATAATAACAGTAATGAAATTGATTCATCAACTGGGGGTGTTGGTATTGGTAGCAGTTATAATGTTGCAAATTGCATTAGATCCGTGATTGAACCAATTATGACTCCTCACTTTGGAGAACCCATTGTGGAACAACTATTTGATAGATACAAACAAATTATTAGGGCTGAGATGTTCAACAAAAGGAGTGAGTTCATCTTTCTCACTATTTCTCTCACTACAATCTGAAATGGTTGAAAAGAAACGATGTGGTTTTATGTCACAATTTCTTCTAAAAACTATGTTATGTTATGTTATGGTGCAATGGAATAAAGGGCTCTTCACTTAGATTCTTATTTTACATTTTATTTAATAATAATTATGTAATCTTTTATTTTTCTCTATAACATTAAATATAATAATTACATTTATTTTTTTCTTCCTCCACCCTTCCCCCAATAATACCAAAAATAAAACACATTTAAATTTAAATTTACCTTTAATATTAAAAGTAAATATTTACAACATAATCCTCTCAAAATTAACCAATTTATTTACCCAATATATTCCTTTTATTCTACGTCTCTAGTTTGCATTTTTACATTTTATGTTAATTTGACCATTTCACCCAAATTAATAAAAATAAAATAATAATGGTATGGTAATAAAAAATATATATTTTAAAATAAGCCATTTAAATTTAATTTTAGAAAAACTAATGAAGTTTTATATATTTGAATTAAATTCAGCTCAAATAAATTTTGTTGGGTAAAAGAGAGAGGCAAAGTCAAAATACAACCTTGAAGACTAGACGGCACTACTCATTTATTTATATACATATTTCTTATTTGGTGGTAAGATTCTTTACTAAATTTATGTTTTATGTGTAATAAATTACAACTACACATCATTCTTCTCTTAAATCTAACCATGAAAAAAATAGATAAAATTACTATAAACTTAATCAATTTCAACAGTTGGGTAAAGTTGATATTTGGTAATATGTTCAAGCACCGACTCAAAAGCTTAGTTTGCGTAATCAAATTGGTATGATTTTAAAATGAAAGGTTTTTCTATCAAAAAAAACACCGTGTTTATCGTATAGAGATGGCCAGGTGACATTAAAGAAGAAAGAAACAATTGAAACATCATACTGGAGATCTCTTCAGACCGTTCTAGATCATTAGTTCTTATCTATCAAAATATTTTAAGAACACGATAGAGTCCTTTAATATGGTCGATTTACGTTATTTAAGTTATTTTTTCTAATAACAACTCATTTCATATTATGCTACGTTGTTGCCCTGTGTTAGGTTATCCACCTTTGTTTTTCTTTTCTTATTCTTATTCTTACTATCATTTTAATTGAACCGCTCTTATGTTGAGATATAATATTTGGAGAATATATTATTTAATTAGTTTATATTTTCTTATTCTTATTCTTACTATCATTTTAATTGAATGGCTCTTATGTTGAGATATAATATTTGGAGAATATATTATTTAATTAGTTTATATTTTCTCCTCGTAGGTATTAGTAGATAGTTATATCCTATTAATATCAATGAGAACACACTTTCCATCCCATTTTTATTTCTCATTTTAACATCTTATTTTATGACCTACCCAAGTGTCGAGAAAGTTTGATCCATTCTAATTGTCCAACTCAAAGTGTCGAGTTGAATTAGATTTCTTTGAAATGAATTGAATTTTCAAAAAATTGAAAATTCAGTTGCGTGATTAATATTATTTTAGATAAAACAATCCAATAAACTCATAAAATAGTATTACAATCTAACTCTTTTGTGACGGGTTAAAAAAATTACATGTCTATAAGAGAAGACCCATATGCCCAAAGATAAACACCCAACACATTGAGAGAGAGAGAACATGGAAGTAGGTCAAGTTCTTCACATGAATGGAGGAGTTGGAGATCTTAGCTATGCTACCAATTCCCGTCTTCAGGTCCCTATCTTTTTTCATAGTTACTCCTTCGAGTGAGCTTTTCGTCTTATTTAACTTGTTTTTTTTTTTTTTTTTTTTTTTGCAACAGTCGAAGGTGATATCAATGACGATGCCAATTGCTGAGGAAGCCATTGTCAACCTCTACTGCTCCACTTTTCCAACCACTTTAACCATCGCGGATTTGGGCTGTTCTTCTGGACCCAACGCATTGATGCCAGTTTCCCAACTCATTGAGGCAGTCGAAAAGGCTCGCCGGAAGCTCCGCAAGGAATCAATCGAATATCAAGTTTTGTTAAACGACTTACCCGGAAATGACTTCAATACCATCTTCAAATCCATGCCCAACTTCCTCGAAGATTTGAAAATTAAGATTGGCCCTGATCTTGGGCCTTGTCTCGTTACTGGGGTGCCTGGCTCTTTCTATGGCAGGCTTTTCCCTACCCATAGCGTCCACTTTATTCATTCTTCCTATAGCCTTCATTGGCTATCGAAGGTAAGGTAGTGCACATCTTACTTGCTTAACCACTCACTTTGTTCGTAAATTTTTTGTAAAATTTTGGTTAGGTTCCTGAAGGGTTGGAGGAGAATAAAAGAAATATTTTTATGGCTGAGACGAGCCCAGAGAGTGTGCTGAAAGCTTATTATGACCAATTCCAAAAGGACTTCTCCTTGTTTCTCAAGTGTCGTGCGCAAGAATTGGTGGGTGGGGGTTGCATGATTTTTACACTCCCGGGAAGGAAAAGCCAAAACCCAGCTAGTAGGGAGTGTTCTTACACTTGGGAGCTTTTGGCTATGGCGCTTAACGACATGGTCTCCAAGGTAACCATCAGTCACGTCGTTCTAAATTTCTTGAATAATTTGTTAGGAATCACGACCCTCCATAATGGTATGATATTGTCCACTTTGAGCCTAAGTTCTTATGGTTTTACTTTTGGCTTGTTCAAAAGGTCGACCCTCCACAATCGTATGATATTATCCACTTTGAGCCTACGCTCTTATGACTTTATTTTTTGTTTCTTCAAAAGGTCGACTTTCCACAATTGTATGATATTCTTCACTTTGAGCCTAAGTTCTAGTGACTTCCTTAAAAGGCCTCTAGAGATTCATTTCTTACTTGTAAACCCATGATCAACTAATAATCTTCAACAATTCTCTTCTTGAACAAAGTATATCATAGGGCTTCCCCTAAGGCCTATGAAACCCCTCGAACAACCTCCCCTTCAGGAGCCCTGAAATACAGTACACCATTTGTTCAACATTTCGAGGGTCCCCAACTTCTTTGTTTGACATTTGAAGATTCTTTTAACATAGCTAAGTTAAGGGCATGAATTTGATAACATGTTAGGAATCACGATTCTCCACAATGATATAGTATGGTCCACTTTGAGCATATGACTTTTCTTTCGACTTCCCGAAAGGCTTCCTAACAATGAAGATGTATTCCTTATTTATAAACTCGTCTCGAAATATGAGACTCATCTTCTAACAATTCTTAACATAATTTCTCCAACTTAAGCGTTCTAACTTGGCATAAACAAAATATATATATATATATATATATATATATGACAGGGAAAGATAGAAGCGGAGAAATTGGAGAGCTTCAACATACCCAAATACAAGCCTACACCAACAGAAATAGAGATTGAGGTTGCAAAAGAAGGATCCTTTGTGGTGGATGGCATTAGGGTTTGGGACGTTTCCAGCAATCAATTCAGCAACAACGCATTAGACGGTTTAAAGAGTAGCAGCGACAACGTAGCAAAGGGCATAAGGGCTATAGCTGAACCAATTCTTGTAAGCCATTTTGGAGACGAAGTTATGGATGAATTGTTCATCAAATACAGTGAGATCATAGCAGACCGTAAGGTAAAAGAGAAAACTAATCTTGTCAATGTCACTGTTTCCCTCACTAAACCAAAGTGACACGACAAAAAAACCCATCTACTTATGCTTAAACCTAATATAGATTCGTAGGCTCTTAATAAAATATTGTTGTATGTAATTCTGGACCAAAACTATGAACGAAGCTTGTGTCAAAACGTGTGGTGTTTCTATAGGACATTGAATCTTGTAAGCCACATATACATGCTTGAATTTTTGTCGTTGCAGACACTGACAGCCTCTCTCATCCTCGTTCCACCACTTAAATTGTTGTGGATCAGAACATATTTACCAGTTCTTATGATGTTTGAAAAATGAGAAATAATTTAAGGAAGCTGGCTACAAGTTTGTCAAACGGTTGAATATAAGAGTGCGCGATCTCACATTGGTTGGAGAAGAGAATGAAACATTTCTTATCTCTTCCTAATAGACGCGTTTTAAAACTGCGAGATTGACGACTATATGTAACGAGTCAAAGCAGACAATAACTTCTACCAGTGGGTTTGAGGATTACCTAGTTGTTTTAAAAAAATATTGAAATATTTACAAAAACTTTTGGATTTTATTTAATGAAGTATTTCTTTATGGCACATAAAATATAACACTAAATTTTGTTTTTATGTGAAAGATTACTCTTAACTTTCTTTCTTTATTTTAATTTTTTAATTTTTTAATTTTAATTTTATTTTATAGTATTAGAAGCTTAATAAAGGTAGAGAACTGAAATCTCTTTAATCTTTATGAGAGAACTTGTTTAAGCATAAAATAACCTTCTTTTTTTACATTTTAGAAGTCATATTCAAAGCCAACTCTTAATAAATTATAACTAAATTTAATTAATATTTTTTAAATGGATTAAATTCTAAATTAAGTCCATATTCAATATTATTTTTATTAATTTTCAATTTTGTGTTACCAAATTCCTGAATGATTAAGTCTCTGGGCAAAAATAAAAATAAAAATAAAAAGTAGATTTGAAAATTCTTAGAAATATAGTAGGTATGACGAGAAATAAACCCTGGAAAAACATGTGAAAATTAAAAGTTCGGAGAAATTAATAAGCCCAAAGAGAACGTCAACTTTTTTTTTTGCTTTGTTTTTTTGTTTTGATTTCCTTCATGTTCAAAGAAAATTCTTTGATGAAGTATTGGTGCACCTTCCGCTGACTTGAGAGTAATGAAATGGGTGAAGTCAAATTCTCCAGGACCGTCGGATTAATAATCCCTGTTCATCGAAGAGGGTGAGCTAATTCTATATATAATTCGACCAACAACCCATGACTCTATCACTTCTCCTTCCCATGGCGATGACCAAAACCATTCTCAAACTTGACATTGCATGCCAGAAATGCAAGATCAAAGTCCTCAAAGCTGTTGCTGCCATAGAAGGTACCTCCTCCTCCTCCTCCTTCTGGATATTGGATTGTTTTTTGGTTTGTAAATAATTTTTAGTGCAGGCGTGGACAAGATTGAGACGGACGAAGCCAAGGGGACCTTGGCCGTGACGGGCACGGCGGATCCCTACGACATAGTTACACGTACCAGGAAGGCCATTTCTTGCGCCGGCAAGATTGCTGATATAGACACCATTGGACCGCCCATAAAGCCTAACCCACCGCCCAAGCCCACCCCCACACCCTCATGCCCATGTCCGCCCTACCCGCCACCCCACCCGCCTTGTTATGGATCGTCGTACGTGGTCGTGCCCCATGAAACCTATCCTTCTTGCTCTATTCTTTGATCAAACCTAAGTCTTCATATAATTATTGGATGTCTGCAAAATCATTTTAATATATATATATTTTTTTTTATTTCAATGCATTTATCCTATTATCGTGTGTGTGTGAGGGGGGGTAAGATTAGGAGGCAGCTATGTTGAATAATTTTGTTGGATTAATAATGTAATTGTTTGTGTTTATTTTGTTCGTCCTAAATAATGATAATGTCCTTTTTTTTTTTAATTTGGATTTTAAAGTTATTTTCGTTGTAACCAATTTCATCATAATAAAATTCATAAGCGTGTATTCTCCAATATTAAAATCAAAAATTATTTTTTCATTTCTCAATTTTTATATTTATTTTATTTCATTAAATTAAATTGGTCGATATTTTAGTCAAATAAATATTTTAATTAGGTGCGAATGCAATTAAAAAAGGAAGTAAATGTTGCACTGTGCTTTATTTAAAAGAAAATGAAAGGTTGTGACATTAATTTAAGTTGTCTAATAAAATTTCCTGAATTTTAATAATACAATAAATCTATGACTTCCAACTAATCACTGTGACATTTTTTTAAACTTCCCAATTAATATATTAGATATAAAATTTTAATTCAATGTTAAAAAAATCAATTAACCATCTAAAATATTTTAAAATTTATTAAATACTTAGGATAAATAAATACGAACATAATCCATCAAATTCTATTAATTTTTCAATGCTTAGTGGACAATTAAAATTTGAAGTGTTTTTTAATGAATTATTTAATTATTAATTTTCTAAAAAATGTACTTGTAAAAAATTAAATTATAAAATTAGTGATTTTAAAAGTTAGAATTTCAATTTGATAAAATCTCATAAAATATTTTGTAAATCTGAGGGGACCTTATAAGTAAATTTGAGGGGATCGTATGACTGTATCTGAATATGTGACTCTCTCTGAACATCATCCGTGGAGGTTAGCTGACGACCCTCACACAGGACCATACATCCACTAAACGGGGTGCGACCCCCTGTGTGTCGATCAGCTACTGAGTCATCCTATGTGGCTCCACGTCCCCCGCTCAGGGACGGGTTTCTATGGCCCAGGAGTCCTGTTCAGAAGACCCCGTAGCTATCACCACTAGGTCTGGGCACCTGTCACACTTCCTTATCCAGATCTGCAAAGCTCAATGATCACCGTACCGGAGCTCTGGCTCGACAATACGGTATCAGAGGAGAGAGGGAAGTGGAGGTTCTGATGACACTATCTACACTGCTCAACGCTAGCGGGCTACCTACAGTTACCGTGGTGACCTATTATTCTTTCTAGGGTAGAAGTTGGTGGCTTAGACTTGGATTCATGTATCTCTAGGATTCTCGTGTCGGGTCTCACAAACCTATCGGGTTTGGAATTCTGGGCTCTGGATCTGCCAGTAATCATTTCACGGGTCTAATTGCACGATATTCTAGAGGTCCCCCAATCTAGGGTCTCATCTAGCCTACTTAGTCACAAGCACCCTAATCTAAGCTCGTAATTTCTTCCTATTCATCAAGAAAGATAACACAAGCAATCATCATGCATAGAGTTAACACGCAGCAGTTCATGCAATATTAACAAACATGATCAACAAGAAGATAACGTCTATCTTTACCCGGAGCGCAGATTTCACAAGTTTCCCATCCTCATGCATACATACTTTATCAGAATCTCAATCAAACAGATTTAATAAACATTTCATATCAAGCTTTCCTTAATCATTTCATTTGCGCAGTTTCCATACTAATATACTAGGTCCGGCTAGCTAAGTTAATGGGTGGTAGCATGCATGCTTGTTCCTAGCGGTTCCTACAAGTATTGCTCGTGGGAATCCAAATGGCTACTTACATGGTTGACGCGTGCCTTCCCAAGCCCGAATTATTTACCGGAAAAGGTTCCAAAAATTCTAAAATTTTCTTGGTAGGTCCTAATTCAAGTTAGACTTAGATCAGTATCAAAACCGAGATGAAAAATAGTGGAACGGAAGTCAAATCGAGATAAAAATAGATCTCACGCGCCGGAGGGGTTTCCCACGCGCACGGACGCGCTGAGGGGATGGAGTCGCGCGCTGGTGTGTCGCCACGTGGCGATGGATGACTGGTCCACTAAGAGGCAGGGCGTGTGTTCGAATCTGGACGCACGCGGGTTCTAAGAATTTTCCCACGATGACGCGTGGCAGATACGGGTTCGGGTCGTGCGGGTTCACGGATCTGGTAGCGGGTGCCGGTCTTCAAACCCTACCTGACGCAGTATTTTTCGTAAAATTCTCCCCGCCATTCCGCGCCTGACACGTGTCCATCTTTCCGGCGACGCGCGGCCCTCCCTTTTCCTAAGAACTAAAAATAAAATAATTATGAAGTTAGTGACTTAAACTTTGCAAATACGGCAAGACATCTGAATATTTGTATGTTGACGACGACTTGCACTAACGTTAAAACCCGTTGTTTTCATGTTAATTTTCGCACCTATAAATTTATTTGTATTTATGTTCCTTATTTTTCACATGAGGCGGCTGGCTTTGATGACTTTTCTACGCATGTAGTTGGTTGAAGTCTATGGGTTTAGGTGGGGTTTGTCTCCTAAGAGAATAAATTTTGACCCTCAACAAGCTAAGCAGCGCTTAAGGCCACGCAAGGACCTAGATAAGTGCTGTGATACGACCGACGAATATGGTGTCTCATCTAACACACCATACAAAGCGGTCATTGAAGAGAAGAAGAGGTCGAAGCAAGACAAGGGTCACAAGTAAACATGAATGTCAAAGATAGGCTTGTTAAAGGGTTGGGTAGGACCCCAAACCTTAACCTTGAAAATTGAGAACTCGGAGAGAATTTGGACATACAGTTCTAGAGTTAAGTCCGTCCATGTGAAATGTGAATGTTTGCCAAATTTGGTGTTAATCGGATATTGGACAGACACTCCACGATAACATATGATCGTTCGCCAAAATAATGTCTAACCTATGAGTAATGAAAATGACTCAAAATGTACCACTTTTGGGTGGAATAGTGACGTTATGCATAATATCCTCACTCTCAATAGTTAAATATAAGTCTATATAATAAAAAAACACAAGATGCCCATGACGTGTACGTGTGGGATGAACAAAACCCTCATTGAATTTGATTTTTTCATTAGAAGGAGCTTGTATAAGTTCTATAGTCCCCTTGTGAATACTCCGCCAGTATGAAAACTTTTTAATATTAGTTGAGTACCCGATTCTCCAATAGATTGACAAGGGAGACATGGTGTCAGCTCTCCACTACCCTTGGGCCATGTGGCCAAAGCGAGCTATCATGTGACACATATGTGTTTCACAGTGACGACAAGCATTTCGAGACCGGTGTTTCAGAAGACTTCCTTTGAAATGAGTTTTCAAAGACAATACGGGGCAACACGGGTGTGCCGATATTGTACCCTCAACCTATGTGTCAAAGGTTGGATTATCTATTTGTTATCCCGTACGGAGTCCGTAAATGACATGACATGGGAATAGGAGGACCAATGTTTCGATAGAATACGAATAGATGGCTTTTTGAGATGTCTCAATGTTACGAAAAATAGGTGGGCCCAAAAATAGATAAATAGAATTTTATTTAATTAATTACAAGAAAAAAAAAATACAACTGGAGAACCTCATCTGAAAATGGAAGGTCAAATTTGGTTGACTATTAAATTTTATTCAAGTTCTCGAATCACCAAGTCAACCAAAAAAAATTGAGGAATAAATTTCTAAAATTATTAACTTTACAAACTATACTAATCTTTATAATTTTTCCTAAATTTTATAATTATTGATTGAAAATAGTATTTAAAATACCTACCTCATAATTATTTATCTTATTTAATTTGACACAGAAAAAACAAAAAAAAAACTTTGGAGTCAGGAGAGATAAGTCCAACTAACAAAAAAAAACAAAAATGTGACTATGCTCTTAATATACTTTTTTATTATTATTATTTTATATGAATAAAAAAGAATTTAATTAACTGGCTTTTTGTTAATAAAATAAATTGACTTCAAAATAAAAAAATGAAGTCAATAAGATAGTAGTCACTTCAACTTATCAATATCTATTTCTATTATAAAATTAGTATATTTCAAAACTAATTCTATTAAATAACATAATTATCATAATCTAAAAATAATAATAATCTTTTTATTTTTGTGTCCAAACTAATTTTTTTAAATCAATATGTTTTCTGTAAAAACTTTATTAGCAGAATAATTTAATATAAAAATATTAATTTAATATAATGAGAAAAAATAAAGGGCTGTGGAAGTAAAATTCTCCCAGTTTTTTTTTTTTCATCGCAATTGCTGATACAAAGCTAGCTCCGATTCATTTACGACGCAGTTCATCCCAACCTGAATTGTCTCTCTCGAGATTTTTGTTTTAATTACAATTCTTGAACTATTGTTTAGAATGTATGTGTTGTGCATCCTTTGGTGAAAATTTTCATTTGCATTGTCTTGTTTTTCGTGATTTTGATGGAGATTACTGTGATTTCAACTTTGATTGACTAAAATATCGGAGGTAAAGACATGTATTCGATCTCTAAATTCGCGTCTACTGTTATTCTGAAAACTGAAATAGGAGGGAACAGAAAGAACAAATAGAGAGAAGAAACAAGTAATTCTTACTTTATCTAAGGCTCTAAGCAGAATCGTCGGGTTTACGATTCACTTCGTTGTGCTTCTGTTGACTGTCTGTGGTTGTGGAAATGACAGGTCGAAGTGACGGTTGTTAATGTTTCTACCCGGCGTCAGAATGGGATCGAGAGTTTGGACGATTTCTTCTTCGTATCGAGGGAGTATGTTCTCTTTTGCTATGATCTCTCTGAAATCATCTTTCCGATGACCGGGGTAAAGCAGTCTTGGTAATGAGTTTTTTATTCAAGCCCAGAAGGATGGGGTTATTGCTGGAGCTATAGGGCTGCTTTGAGGCAGTGAAGGGACGTCTCTCATATCCTCTGCAATAAAATCTCTTCATATTGGAATACCTAAGCTTATCGTCTCAACGTTTCCTAGTGGTCAGACAGACTCTTATATCTGGACATCGGATCGTATACTTTTCCCATCTATAGTGGATGTGTCTGGAATCAGTGGAGGAAAGTGTACTCCGTCTACTGGCTATAGCAGTTGCTGCTCATGGGATCAATCCTAATATCTTGATGCTCTATCATGGAGGTATTACCTATGAACTACAATGGTGATTGATTTGAATTTACAATTTGGCTAACTAGTTAACTGCACTAAAATGTAAGAACGTTCCATAATCCTGACCCTCGCTCCAACACTCCAACCTCGCAGTATTGTTGTGGAGGAAAAAGTAAACATATGCTATTGTAGGCGGGGAAGCCTAGCATTTCTCATTTCAAGCTAATGGTTATTTGTCCCACAATCCCTTCCTTATAAAAGCTTTAAATTTCCATCAGAATGTGAGTCGTCCAAGTCATCGATTTTGGCCTTTCATCCTAATGTCCACAAAAGCCAACGACCCCTTCACCCTAATCCATGTTGTTTGGGTACCATTTTCTATAAATTTGTTTTATTAGCACAGATAGTTTATCCCTTTTATTGATCATCAAACTCATACACGTTGGCTTTACCTTGTTGGGTGTAAGTCTGATCCTTTAAAAACTTTCAAGCAATTTCTACGGGTGGTTTAATTCACAAAAGAGATTTTTCATCTTGAAGTAGATAATAATTACCCAACTTCTTTAATCGGGGATTTGGAAATATCTCCTAGAAAGCAGTATTGTTCGCCAAAGTTCCTGACTTTCTCCTCAACATAATGGGGGTGGCATGCAGTTTCCTTTTATTTTAAACGAGTGTACCAAAATGGCGATGTTTATAACAGCATATTTAATACATGTTGTACTCTCTCGACTAAAATGTAACAGCCCTAGGAAAGCTTAGAACCAACAAATAATGTTAATGAAGTGTAGATGCGATCTCCACTTGGCTTTCGAAGAAAATTTAGGACAAATGATGTGTCTAAGTTGAAGAAGTCACGTTATGGGCCCAAGAAATCACCTTTCACAAATTCTGTATCGAAGCTGGTTGCAGACATTTTCTTTGAGCATCCAAAGGATTCAAGATATAACATAGTTTTTTTCTTTTTTTTTTTTTTAGTATATTTTAACTCTACTTAGACCTTTGTGTGACCCTTCCCTCTATGAAAAGGGACACCTTGACCCTTTGTCCTTTAGGTTATTGTGTGCGGTGAACTACTAGAGATGATATTTGATAACTAGAAAATTTGTAGAAGCTTGCACTACAGTTTGAAGTTACGGATTCAGGGAAACTCAAGTACATCAAAGCATGTGTTTGATCTACTGAATGAAAAAGATATAGAAGATTGGTGGAAGAACTCATTTATTTGATTCACACTAGACTAGATACTGCATTTTCTGTAAATTTAATTATCGATAAAATACATCCACAAGCAATAACTAAGGTATTGAGATGTTTCATATTTAAAGAAACCCTGAAGTAAAGGACTTCTGTTTACCGAGCATCGTAGCCTAACAAATGAAGGATAGTCTGATAATGATTGGGCAGAATCAACTGTAGAAAGAAATCTTAGCACAGGCAGGCTATTGCATCTTGAAGAAAACCTCGTTGGGTTTAGACTTCAGATCTATTGCTCAAGGTCAATCATATATTATAGACTTTCGAGTTCTTATTGGACTGCTAATGAACTCATTATCCAATTCAGCAGAATTGGTCAAATTATGTTCAGATTGATCTTAATTTGAAGGCAGAACATAATGCTTTGGTCTGCACTCCTTTCGTTCCCCGTGAAAAGATAATCTTCAGATCCTTAGCAAAAAGTCTGCCAAAGTCTCGGTCTCATCCTAATGTAAGCAACCAAAAATAGGGCAGTGTAGAAGATCACAGTACCAAGTATTATGAGTTCGGATCATTTGGTAATAAATGCAGGCGTTAGACAGCTTGGTAGTACCTGCAGAAGATTGTACATTTTTCTACATAATCAATTCCAGGAAATTTGAGGTATAGTGAAGCCAATATTAGGCTAATTTTCTCCTGTCAAGTTGTCTATTTATATTGATTGTATTCATTCTGAGACGATTCTTCTCGATCCTCCTGGGACTGTAAATGTTAGATGGTTGCCTTTTATGCCTGCGTAAGAATTTAATTCTCATTTGTCAAATGCATGAAAATGAAAAGATGTACAATTACTTCAATATTAAAATTATCTAATGAAGTGCGGCCCTTGATGAGCTTGATACTTGCCCTGTATATTAGATCTAGTACTAACTTCTTACACGCTTGTGATGGGCAGAAAAATGTAGCAAATCGTACCCTCTGTGTTTTGTTCTTCTCTCTCTCTCTCTCTCTCTCTTTTTGTTGGTTCACTACTTTATCAAGATCAATTTGGGAAAGATCCATTATCCTAGATATTGTAGATTCAAACTTGGACAGTAAGAACAGTCCTGTTATCAATTGCACATTGTTTCTCCTTGAAGATTAAAATGAAGGTCCTGTTTCTTTCAAGTGCCAGCCGTCCTTATCATTTCACATGTCATTCAGACCTTAACCATGACGGAGCAAGATGTTATCATCCTTCAGGTGTTCGTTCTTAGGTTTTTCTGGTAGTCTTCTCCTTCCTCATCTATGAGTATGAGAGCAAGTTTCTGATATATATTTGCTTGTACAAAATTGACTCTGAATTTGTTAACGTGCTTCATCTGTGTAGCTTCCTCTTAATCTTCTACTCATGTAAGAACGACACAATTGTCGATGAAGATCTTTCTTTGAATGATGCTACTAAATTGTCGATTATAAGGTCTGTTCTACTTCTACATCTTCATATCATTTGATAGAAAATTTCATGCTTCACTATTGACCGTAGAGTCACTTTATAAATATTTCTAAAGTGGATAAACCAGTGAAATGTTTTATAATAGTACTTCAGAAACTGTAAGAACTTGTTTGTTTCATGGGTTTTCAGATTTATATTTATTTATTTTTGTTTATTTTATATGATTTTACTCTTTAAAACCTACGGTATTCAGGTACCTTAAAAACTCAATCAATATGCATTTTCTAATACTCTTTACAACTTTCATTCTTATGCAGTACCCTCTCTTGGCGCAAGGGGAGGGTTTGAAGTGACATGAATGGTACTTTGTAAATAACGTTATCAAGCATTACACATATTAATCATAGAGATTAGAGTATTTAAAAAGAAATATACTTGGACCTTAAGCAGAAAATAAACCACGGAGTCAAGACAGACGGGGATCTAGAGGGAAGCCATTATAGGTGTGCCAAATCAAACCAAACAGATAACCGGATCTTAAGGAGTGCGTGCCAAGTAATAACTCTTGCCTACCCTAGTTTTGTCAAAATATATAGAATTTTATATAGACTCCACTACTAGTTCTATATCAAAAAAAAAAAAAAAAAAAAAAAAAAAAAAAAAAAAAAAAAAAAAAAAAAAAAGGACATCATAAAGTGAGGAGTTCCCACTGCAATGTTGCAAAGTTCACTTTTTCATTTTATTTTTTCTCTTCTGGTTAACTTTTAAGCGAAGCATAAAAAAAGTGGGTAATTAGAGGCCATGATGATACATATTATCCAGCTGCTTCCTCATTACCATGCATTAGAATCTTGCCACTTCTCCTACCTGTACCTGAGATTTCTCACATCTATGCTTATGTCCCATCGTACAAGGTCTTCAAAGTAATGGGGCAGCCGCTTCTCAGCCTAGGGATATGTGCCTTCTTTTCGAGGCAAGGATCTGGATCATCAACCGTCCACCTAAACAATACAAAGGCAAAATAATGATAAGGATAAGAAGAGGAAGTTCGGAATTAGTTCTTGGAACGGGATGAAATGCCTGCTGCTTTAGGAATGTACAGACTCACCTGTACCCTCCAGTCATCCTGTGCAAAAAGACCAACATTGTTAATTTGGCCATGTTGATTCCGAGACAGGTCCTGGGTCCAGATCCAAAAGGTATGAAACTGTATGGCTTTTGAATTTCCTGAAGTTATGCCCCGTAGGTGCATGAACAATATAGGTTTAGTAGCTGAAGAGAGGGGGGGGGNGGGACAAGAAGAAACAGTGATTGATTGTAGGTAGATACATCAAATCTCGAAGGGTTGAATTGCATGGGGTCCTTGTACAAATCTGGGTCATAATGAATGCATGTTGCATCGATGTTCACATGCCATCCTTTCTTTATTTCAAAACCTGCATACCACGTTCAAAATGCGTTGGAGGGGGTCCCAATTTGTTCAAAAACTCTTTATCATCCTGTCTATCGATTTACAAATAGAATATAATTCTTTTCTGTATACGTATGTGTATATTTCTAGCAGAGAAATAGTTCTACAGGAGTCATCTTCATTTCCTACGGTAGAATAGAAAATCTTGTTCATTTGTTTCCATTAGTGAAATATCAAAAAGAGAATGAATGTAACAGGAGGAACGTACCTTCTAATCTGCAATCCCCTAGTGCCACACGAGGAAACCACAGCAAAACATTGGACATTCTCAACGTCTCTTTGACGACCTGCAATGCATATGAATTAAGTTGTCAGCGGCCTGTTAGTACATTGTGCATGGAATTATTTACAATCTGAAGCACTCTGTACACTTCTTACAAAATAAAAACAAACTTAGGCTGCTTATTATAACCTTTGAACCAAAGGACATTTTATTAAGATCTTCAAGAGTAAGTAGTTCTCCATCTTCCTTCTTTCGTAGAATTGACAACTGTTCCTCCTGGAGAGTTGCAATGGGCATTAGTATTCATTCCACAGGAGTACTCAGCATGAAAGTATGAAGAGCAGTGGATTATGGGTAACCTTTGTTAACTTTTCTTTGGATAACTTAACAGGTTATGGATCTTACCCGCAGCCTTTCTTGGGCCTCTCTGTTCTCGTCCAGGAACTTGACACTCCACATCATAGCAGCAGCTGTGGTAGTTTGGCTTGCAATTATCAGTGTCAAAAGGTTATCCATTATCTCTGAGTCATCTAACTTCTGATCCGGAGGATACGAATCTCTCTGCAACATTGACTGCAGGAAGTCTTCTGGTGACTCCTCTCCCCTCCTTCGCCTGGATATTATTTCTCCTAACCTTTCCATTAGTCGGTTTCGTGCCTGCACATTTTGTTGATGACGAGTTTATATGCTTCTAAAGTTGAAGGAAGCTAGAAAGTCCTAGTTGAAGTGTATCAATGTACCTTGATGCCTTTGTAGTACCTAGTTCCTGGAATCATGAATGGGAAAGATAGCATGGCGTCAGTGACTGCTGTACAGTCTTTTTCAATCTGTCTGAGTGTAGATTCATCTCTTAGACTCATTAGCATATTGCACATGGAATCGAATGTTATCTGCGAATCACATAACGTAAGATATGTTGGCTGCCAAGTCAAACAGACATGTTTGAGAAAGATGACTATATTTTTATTTTCTATAACCTTCATGCTGAAATCAAGCAGTACAAAACTTTTCCCATCTTTTACTAGTTTCTGTAGCCTTTTGGAGAGCATGTCGTCAAATTGTTTGACAAACTTAGACAGAGAAGTCATAGAGAAAGGATCAGCCAGAAGACGCCTAATCCTTCTGTGGTCCTCATGGGAAACGCATAGTAAACTCTTCTCTCCAACAGCATCGCCCATGGATTTCACGTATCCCTTGTTGAATTGGACAAAATCATTGGCAAGAATTGCCTTTGCACCTTCTGCACTTGGAACAAACACATGGATTTTTCCAAATAGCCTTGTCCTGAACCACCTACCATGCCTGGTTTAGTTTCACACAGCCATCAGTTCCATGTTCTAAACTGCCCGGGATGTATATGCTAATGCATACATATGTATACATGGAACTCCCATCAGTCGTCAAATGTAAAAATTCAATGGAGTTGACTCGTATGGGACGGTAACCAAGTCTAGTTTTGTATCAAAAGTTCTAAAATTATCAAATTAGAAGCTAAAGGAATCACGTAAAAGATTACAAATTTTAGGGAAATAGTTCAAACTTGGCCTTGAATGAGGAAAATTGGAATCATATTAAAGGAATATTAGAAGTCAGACTAACAAAGAATATCCATAATCACCATGGGGACAGAACCACTAACCACAACCGGCGGAGCCTGACAAATTGGTAACACCCTCTGGTGCTGTTATTAGCAGAAAGAAAAGAGAAGGTTTCCCCTACAAAGGGTAACCCCAAGTGACCAGGAATTCCTCCAACATTCTTGCTCCTCTGTCTCCAGCAAACTTTCGAAACCAACACTAAAATACCTACGGAAAGAACTGCCGCCACTGTCGTAGTGTCAAAATAGTTTTGAGCTAAGAGCACAAGCTCCTCCTTCCACAACATCTTCAACTTTTCGCCAACAAACTCTGTTGACTCTTGATGAAAACAATAAATGGTTCCAATGGGATGGGATTACTCTTCCAAGATGCTGCAATATATAAAATATAAGGAGGGAGGGCCAGAGTGTTTAACAAGACAATATGTGGTATATATTTAAATGGTCGCCAATGTATATCCTTGGATGCTTAGGCATGAAAATGGAAAGATCCATTCCATAAAAACGACACATTATATGATATCCACCCGCGTTTAATCTTTATTTCAAGTTGGGGTCTATTATGTTTGTTTTCCGATAGAATATATTTATCATATAGTGGACAAATAACCGGTCACTTTCTTTTATAATTATGATTGTGATATATGGATTTGATGTTTATATGGGGTCAAACTAAATGCTTCTAATATATAATTGAAGACTCCTTAGATGCCCACCCAACATTACATTTGATGGAGATCAATCAGACTTATACTTGTAGATTGAGCATTTTTATTTGGCTTTAAATTTACAATTTGTTCTGGTTTTTCTATTTAGCTGTCTTTCATTTTATTTCTCAATTGGAGGGTAATTTTGGGGCTGTGATAATCGAGTTTTGAAAATATTGTAGTGATGAGGTTATTGTTATCATGATTTGATTATTAAGGAGTCCTCTAATCATTGCCTCTTCTTTTCTCTCCCTCTTTCGAGCCTACTTTTTCTCTTTCTCAATCTGGGTGGGGATTGATTCTAAAACCAGCCCGAGGATGCGATTTCATATCCATTCATGTTGGAACACCAAACATGAGGTGTTCTCCCTCCCAAATCCTATCTCAACAGTTAAAGACTTCGCCTTTTTTTCCACCTCGAAACAGAAAAGGAAAAGGAAGAGTGAAGAAGTCTTTTTCATGTTGATTTTGAAAGGTGAATATGAGTATGGAGAGCTGATCTTGAACTGTACAGGAGAATAGGATTGATAAATTTTGTGGGAGTTACATGTTAAAAGGTGGGTTGACTGAGATGTCCTTATTATGAGCCTAGTGGGAGGGGTGGGTGTTGGAGATTCCGATAGAAGATGGTCATGGAAATGGAAATCGAAAGGACCCACATTGAGAGTTTAAGGATACTTGGGGAAGCCCATGTGGTAGGTTCTTGGAGGGTCGAGGTCGGGGTCAGGTGGTCTGTGAGTACTTTTATATATGAAAACGATGGTAGAAGAGGAGGATCCAAAAGGCCATTAAAATGGGTGTGTAGCAGCACTTTGTTACCCTGTGCTAACGTAAGATGATAACAACTCTGAAAGTAGGGTGATAAGGACAGGTTGTAGTATTGTGGCCGGCCATGCCCATAACACCTCCTTGCTTCGGTGGCCTGCTGCTGTGTGTGTTTCCTTTCAAGGGTCCCAACTTCCAACCAACTACCCAATAACATATTCTTTTCAAAGTTCTCAACCTCGTTGGATTCCCTGTCTTACATCTGCCCTTCCCCAATTATTCTCTCCTTCTCTCTCCTCACTGCTCATCAACTTCCGCCTCCTCCTCCTCCTCCTCCTCCTCCTCCTCCTCCTCCTCCTCCTCCTCCTCCTCCTCCTCCTCCTCCTCCTCCTCCTCCTCCTCCTCCATTAGAAAGAATCAAAATTTTCCATCAAAACTGTTCCAAAATCTAATTTGATATATATGCCTTCTTTGATTTCTTGTACGAAAGATTCAATCTTTCCTTGAGTGTGTGTGCGCGCTCTGCGACTTTTGATAGCATGATGGGACAAATTGTTCTAATCTTTAATTATCTATACTATAACAGATGATCAATGCTGAAATGGAAATATTTATTAATTCTTTTCCCTCCACTTTTCTTTCTCTTTTGTTATTCGGATATTTGAAGGTATCATTTATTTATGTATTATGTTCTTCCCAATAATGATCGCTAATTTTGCTTTGCTATATTTGTGAAGGTGGAAGCTGCATTTTTAGCTAAATTCAAGTGTCTCGGAGCTACATCTTCTTCCCCCTCTCCTGGAGTGGAGTTTGACTAGGATATTTAAAATATTTTTAAAATTCAGATTGTATATAAATTAATTACTATAAAAAAACATTTCTTTCTTTTTCCATAAAGTTAAATTAGTTTTATTTATTTATTTATTATTATTGGTTATATATGAAAGTTAGTGAATCTGGTTATTTAACCTCACTTATATAAACTGGCGGCAGGGAATGGAAAGAGGGAACGGTGATCATGAAACTCCATAAACTCGGTAACTCCTGCTTTCCCCTCTCTAAATTGACATTAATTTTGTATCGCTTAAAATTGTTGAAGCTTATGATTGGTGCATCATCTAATTATTTGTTATGTTGACAGCTTTTTTATTAAATTTTTAAATTTATAATAGTTTAGTCTATTAAACAAGTTAGTTTCTTTATTTTAAAATTTGTCGCAATTTGATTTTTACAAGTGAAAATTCTACCGATGGTTATTGTGTATTAACTTCGACTTTGTAGTTTATAAGCGTATTCGTTTATTAGTCTCCAACATTTTAAAAAATCATTAAATTTTAATGATATTTTTTCCCAAATTAAAGAGTTAAAAAATGCACGTTATATATGTATTTAAATTCATAGGGAGAGTAAATTGTTGAAAGAGAGGCCCAAAATGTTATAAACCAATTGAATAAGAAAGATGCTAAAACTTGAAAATCCAAGAAAACCCGTTTTTAAATTTACAATTATTTATTTATTTATTTATTTTAAAGTGGAACTTAAAAAAAAAAAAAAAAAAGGTGCAAGTGACTCCGGCGGAGGTGGCGGAGCACAGTGACACAATCGCACTTTTAAGACGAGCATGACCGCGACACACAGCTGCTGAAAGGCGACGAAAGTGACAAAGCGGTAAGTATTAATTAGATCTGGACTTGGGCTCACTACTCACGTTCAACATCAAAATTAAAATTTATTTATTTTCAGAAGGCAAATAATAAACTAGTTTCTTTCCACGTGATGAATAGTACATAAATTTGACTATTAAGTAATTTTTTTTCAGAACTTACAAATTTAAATAAAAGGTAATATATCTAATATTGTTTTGGTCGGATCCTATCATTTCATACCAAATATAAGAATTTTTTTTCCTAACTTTTCTTTTAAATCAAATAACATAAAAATATCATAATAAATGAATGGAAATTAAAGCCTAAAATTAAAACCAAGGGAAGAAATCATTTTAAATAAATAAATAAACGGAGAAAAATCGCTTGGATTTTTTCCACAGAAAAGGAGACCTGCCCTAGTCAACGGCGCGTCGGCGACTTCAAGTCATACCTTGGGATACACGTCAGGGTCCCACCATTAAGTGCTGGTGTTAATCTCTCACATTTTTTATAATTTATAAATTTCATTCTCTCTCAAATGTTTTTTGAAAATCAAATTAGAACACTCACAAAGAATAATGTGTTAATTTAAAAAATATTTTTTAAAAATCATTCTATAATTTTAATATGCTTTCTAAACAAAGCATTAACAATTTTAAAAATTAGAATTTTATTGAATAATTTTAATAATTTTTTTTGGTGGAGTGTTGGAGTGCACTAAAAAAATTAAAAAAAAAAATCATTTATTTAAGAAACTCCATTTTGTTTCCACCCACACCATTGCTATTGACCTCCAAAACTCTTCTTCTTCCTTCTACCTCAACTTCTCTGGTTCATTCGCCTTCATTTTCCAGCATCCATCAGCCATGCCCTCCAACAGCTCCACCGCCGAAGCTAATCTCGCCAATGCCAAGGCCCTTCTTACTGCCGCCGCATCCTTCGCTGCCACCGTCGTCCTCGCTCGCTCCGTCGCCAACGACTTATTGCCGCCCCAACTCCGATCATATTTCTATAATGCCTTTCTTAACATCTTCGACCGATTCTCCTCCCAACTCACCATGGTCATCGACGAGAGGGATGGCCTCGACCCCAACCAAATCTACGACGCCGCCGACACCTATTTGGCCACCAGAGTCTCCCCCTCCACTCACAGACTCAAAGTCTCCAAGCCCGAGAAGGAAGATAGCATCACCACTACAATGGAAAGCAACCAGGAAATTACCGACACCTTCAATGGCGTCCAATTTCACTGGGTCCTCGTCTGTAGCCAAATCGAGGGACAGAACTTCCACAACGCTCGTTTGCCCTTCCGATCCACCGTCAGATCGTTCGAGCTCTGTTTTCATAAGAAACACAGAGACATGGTCCTCAAATCCTATTTACCCCACATTCTCCACCAGGCCAAAGAGATCAAGCAGCAGACCAAAACCCTGAAGATCTTCACCTTCGATTACCGTCAAATGTTCGGCAACATTTCGAATTTATGGGTTCCGACCAATCTCGATCATCCCAGTACGTTTGAGAAGCTCGCCATGGACTCTGAGATCAAGAACTTCATTCTGAGTGACCTTGAACGGTTTGTGAAGAGGAAGGAGTTTTACAGGAAGGTGGGTAAGGCCTGGAAGAGAGGGTATTTACTCTACGGTCCCCCAGGAACAGGGAAATCGAGCTTGATTGCAGCAATGGCGAATTACTTGAAATTTGATGTGTATGATTTGGAATTAACAGAGATCCAATGTAATTCTGATCTTAGGAAATTGCTAATTGGAATGTCGAATCGTTCGATTTTAGTAGTGGAGGATATTGATTGTTCAATCGAGTTCCAAGATCGAGAGTCGAGAACCGAAGAAGACGGCGCATCGTCTACGAGGAGAAGAGCGCAGGTGACATTATCGGGGTTGTTGAATTTCATCGACGGGCTGTGGTCGAGCTGCGGTGACGAGAGGATTATTATATTCACGACGAACCGTAAAGAGAAATTGGATCCGGCGTTGCTCCGGCCGGGAAGAATGGACGTTCATGTTCACATTATCAAGTTTATGCAAAACTGTGCTTCACACTATTGAGGACATATTCTATTTATATTGGCAAAAGATTAACTAATAGATCCGATTTCATAGGAAACTAACGAAGTAAGCCTATTCTTATGGCATGACCAACTTCAAGCTATTCTAATGGATTGACCAATTCTAACAGTCCCCTTCAATCCCAACAAGTCTTGTACATGTTGAGATTGTTACAATGTGTAGTAAAAGGAGTTTTAGACAGTGGTTTTGTCAGGATATCAGCTACTTGATCACTTGATGAAATGAACCGAACTTCCATTGCTTTACGTGCTACTTGTTCTCGAACAAAATGAAAATCAACTTCAATATGTTTCGTTCTAGCATGAAATACTGGATTTGAAGTTAAATATGTAGCTCCGAGGTTGTCACACCAGAGGCGAGGAGCCTTTGATTGATACACGCCCAGTTCCTTCAGTAATGACTTGATCCAAATCATTTCTGCAGTAAGATTCGCAATGGCCTTGTATTCTGCTTCGGTGCTTGATCTTGACACTGTAGCCTGTTTTCTGGAACTCCATGAGATTAGATTTGCTCCAAGAAATACAGCAAAGCCGCTAGTTGAACGTCGATCATCGGGACAACCAGCCCAATCAGCATCAGAAAACCCCGACAACATCATGGTTGATTTCTGAATTTTCACTCCTAATGCTAGTGTGCCTTTAACATAACGAAGAATTCTCTTCACAGCACCCCAATGAGCATCAGTAGGTGTATGAAGATATTGACACACTTTATTGACAGCAAATGCCAAATCAGGCCTAGTCATTGTCAAATATTGTAGTGCTCCCACTGTACTTCTGTATTTGAATTGTTCTTCAGCTGATAAGGGTATTCCTTGTTCTCTGAATAATTTTTCAGCAGAACCCATTGGTGTAGACATAGGTTTGCATTTTTCCATGTTTACTCTTTTCAACAAATCTAAAGCATATCGTCTCTGTGACAGTATGATACCATCTCGTGTTTTCTTGACTTCAATACCCAGAAAATACTCAAGATCACCCAAATCTTTTACTGCAAAATCTATTTTCAATTTCTGAATCAACCTTTCGGTTGCTTGATCAGAGGAGCTCACAATAATTATATCATCAACATAGATGAGCATATAGATAGTTATCTCTCTGTTTTTGAGAATAAAAAGAGATGAATCAGCTACTGAAGCCTTGAAGCCTAACTCAATAAGTTTTCCAGTCAACCTTGAATGCCAAGCTTTTGGGGCTTGTTTCAGGCCATAAAGGGCTTTCTTGAGCTTGCATATGTAATTCTTTGGTTTGGCTGAGTCTTGAAATCCTGGTGGTTGTCGCATGTACACTTCCTCTTTCAGAATTCCATGCAAAAATGCATTTTGGATATCAACTTGTCTCATATTCCAGCCCTTGGTTACTGCTAGCGAAAGAATGACCCTGATTGTTGACGGTTTGATCACAGGGCTAAAAGTATCAGTGTAATCAACACCAAATCTTTGCTTGAATCCTTTGGCAACTAATCTTGCTTTTAATCTTTCAACTGACCCATCTGCTTTTCTTTTCACTTTATACACCCATTTACTATCAATGAGATTTATTCCAGGTTTGGGTGGAACTAGATCCCAAGTGGCATTTCGTTTTAGCGCTGAGAGCTCATCATTCATTGCTCCTCTCCATCCTGGATGTTGCATGGCTTCCTGCAGGTTTCGAGGTTCAGTAGCAGTCTCTATGATCGGAGTTGTGATAGTTACAGCGCTTGCGAATTTTCTTGAGGTTTCTGAATATCTGATAGTTCCATCAGTGAATTGTTTAGCTTGTACAATGTTATTTCTCAACCTTGTTCGCATTGGATGTTGACTAGCTGCTTCAGTTGGTTGATCAGACACATGTTCATGAGTTTGGTTTTGAGCATTGATCGAACTGCTCTCAGCTTCATATTCTGCAATTTCCTCTGAACTTCTTGTATTATCTGCAGAAGATAAGCTGACACCAGACAAGTTGTCACTAGCAATATTATCAGTTTGACCATCATTCATATGGGAATTACTAACAACTGGTTCAATATCTGTAAGAGCATTTTCAGTGTAAAAACTAGCAAGTTTGGCTAAGGCTGGAAGTAGAACAGGATGATGTGGATTTGTGGTTTTGTTTGGTGGCTTAGATTCTTCAAAAGGAAAAATATTTTCATCGAAAACCACGTCTCTAGAGATGTAAATACGTCCTGTACTTCTATTTAAGCATTTATATCCCTTATGAGAAAAACTATAACCCAAGAATATACATCTAGTAGTTCTGAAACTCAGTTTCTTGTTGTTGTAAGGCCTTAAATTAGGCCAGCAAGCACAGCCAAACACCCTAAGCATGGAGTAGTCTGGACTTTTACCAAACAATTTATGAAGTGGTGTGTCTTGTTGTATGGTTCGGCTGGGCATTCTATTTATAAGAAAGCAAGCTGTGTTGAAAGCTTCATCCCAGTAGGATAGAGGCATGTTGGCTTGAGCGAGTAAAGCAAGGCCAGTTTCTACAATGTGTCTGTGTTTTCTTTCGACTAACCCATTCTGCTGGTGTGTGTGAGGACAGGAGATATGATGTTCAATGCCTGTGGATTTGAAATAATTGTGTAACCGATGGTATTCACCCCCCCAATCTGATTGGACGGAGCGAATTTTGGTATTTAGCATAGTTTCAACATGTTTTTGAAATTGAAGGAACACAGACTCAACATCAGATTTGCATCTCAGAAAGTAAATCCAAACATAACGACTAAAATCATCAACAAAGGAAACATAATATTTGGAATTATTTACTGACGCAATGGATGGACCCCATACATCAGTGTGAATTAATTGAAGGGGTGCTGTAGATACATGCTGAGAAGAACCAAATGGCAATTGATGTGCTTTCCCTAATTGACAAGCATTACAAATTGAGGAAGAGGGAATATTAGTATCTATAGCTAAATTATTATCTTGTAGAATTCTAATGGTAATTGGAGATGCAGGGTGCCCTAGCCTTCTGTGCCATTGTTCTTTCGAAAGTTTGGCTGTCAGCAAGGCTTGACTGAAATTATGCGGTAGAACGTATAGGCCATTCTTACATCTACCGTGGAGCAGGAGTTTCTTCGTGACTCGGTTCTTAACCAAAAAATAGTTTGGGTGAAATTCTACAACAGCATTATTATCAGATGCTAGTCTTTGTACTGAAATTAGGTGCTTATTGATTTTAGGAGCATATAGGATATGTTTCAGAACAAGAGATGAACCAGAAATTAATGAATTCCCAATATGAGAGATAGACAAACCTGCGCCATTTGCAACCTGAATTTGGTCGGTGCCAGTGTAGCGTTCTCTGGTGGTAAGCCTCTCTAGGTCATTGGTGATATGATCTGTGGCTCCAGTGTCAACATACCAGTTTGTGTCACTAGTGTATCCACTAGTTGCCAAAGCTGCTTGTTTGAGATTATTTTCGGCTTGATATGCCTGATCAAATCTGTGCCAGCATTGCAAAGCATCGTGATTGGGCTTACCACAAATCTGACAGACAATGCCTGAGCTGCTTTGTGTCTTTGATGGTTGACGTCCAGGATTGTTCACAGTACGCCTTGATTGTCCATGACCACTATTTAACTGACGACTACGACCGCGACTACCTCGACCTCCATTGGCACCTCCACGAATGGATATCCTATTGACATTGTTAGCAGATGAAAGTTGCTCAAATGTACCCTTACGCAAGTGCCGCATCTCATAGCTCAGCATGTGAGCATACACGTCGCTGACAGTGTATACATCTGTTCTGGTTGTAATGCTTGTGACTAGAGGATCATAATCTGGACCAAGTCCTTGCAGCATGTAGGCGATGAGTTCTTCATCCTCTATTCGCTTGCCAATGGCAGCAAGTGTATCACCAAGATGTTTTACTTTACGAAAGTAGTCAGCAATTGTCATGTCCTTTTTCTGGATAGTAGAGAGTTCCATACGGATCTGCATTGCTCTTGCTCGAGATGTGGAAGCAAATTGTCGCTCCAGCGTAATCCAGGCTTCTCGTGCAGTGGTGATTCCAACCATCGTGCTGAGAACCTCCTCAGTGACTGATGAGTTGATGAGGCTGAGTACCAGCTGGTCCTGGGGGTACCAGACTGTGAACTCAGGGTTGATGATAATTTTGCGATTCCCTGTTTCTTCACTTGGTTCAACGGCGATCGTCTGGCTTGGTGCAGGCATGGATCCATCCACAAAACCAACAAGGTTTTGGCTACGCAAGTAGGGAAGGATTTGGGTAGACCACAGTAGATAATTTTCTTGTGTAAGCTTAACACTAATCACCTGACTGATCGACGGAGAAGACATTGTGTTGATTGGGATTGACATGTTTAACAGCAGAGGCTATGGATCTCGTGGATCTTATTTGAGCTCTGATACCATATCAAGTTTATGCAAAACTGTGCTTCACACTATTGAGGACATATTCTATTTATATTGGCAAAAGATTAACTAATAGATCCGATTTCATAGGAAACTAACGAAGTAAGCCTATTCTTATGGCATGACCAACTTCAAGCTATTCTAATGGATTGACCAATTCTAACACACATGTCGTATTGCAGCCCTTGTGGGTTCCGGCTTCTGGCCTCCAATTACCTTGGGATTCAGAATCACGAGATGTTTAGCGAGATTGAGGAGCGGATTTTGAGCACAAAAGTGACTCCGGCGGCGGTGGCGGAGCAGCTGCTGAAAGGTGAAGACAGTGACAAAGCATTAAGGCATTTGATGGAGTTTCTGGAAGCTAAAGAACGGGAGAAAGAAGAAGCGGAGCTCAAAATCCGAGAAGATGGAGAAAAGAAGGAGAAGAAGGCGGAGAATATAAAATAACTCCCAACTTTATATTATTATTATTATTATTATTTTTGGATATATAGAATATAAAATAACTGAAAATATATATGGAAACTTATAATGTATAACTCTTCCCCAAATATATATACAAATTTATAATACATACAGATACTATTTTCTTTAAATTTTTTCGGATTTTTCTTTCAGATTTTAATAATATTTTATGACATAATAAATGAAATTAGTTAAAATCATGAAAGAGATATTAAATATAATGTATTTTGGTTCCATTGCCTATTTACAAGTAAACAACTTAAATCTAATTTCTAGACGAACTCTCAGTAATTATAATATATTAAATATGGCTGTGTGTGTGTGTTTTTTTTTTTTTTTTTTTTTTTTTTTGGTTTTTCTAGAAATTATAATATCCATTCTACTCTTCTAGGGCAGTAAGGGTAGCAATCCACGGAAAGAGGAAAAAGAACCGATGAACGCAGACGGTTCGGTCCAGTCCTTCAAATACATAAACCCAATTCGATCAGTCTACAAACCGAACCCGATTCTATTCTTGGATAAACATTGGTTTGGTCTGTGTTAGAAAACCGAAGTTATTGGTTCGATCTGGATTTGGGCGAAGACGGAAAAACCGAACCGATGTGCGCCCTATAATCGGTTGCCCTCGACTGGAATCCTCGAACATCCTTCACTTACTTCTCCACACACGAGGAGCGAAGTAAGGGTCAGATCTCATGGCTTCAAAATCTTTCTGTCAATTCTGATCACTAGAAAGCTTTGCGCTCTCAACATTTTATTTCCTTCTACTCGTTTTTTTGTTCCTTGTTCTTATTTGATCTTTTCCGGACACAGAGTGGTTTAAAGATGGACCCGAACACCGTGAAGTCGACCCTTTCAAATTTAGCATTTGGAAATGTAATGGCCGCTGCTGCTCGTGATTATCAAAAGGTATTCCCATCAATCCGCCCTTGCAAAGTTGGATTTCTTTATTCAGATCTATTTTTCCAGCATCATATTAAGATATGAATGGCGATCGGGTTATATTTATTGGTGATTCTTGCTTCTTCTTCTTCCCCCTTTACATGAATCTGGAAACGGTAGTTCTTTGGGTCTTATTCTCCCACTTTTGTTTATCTTAAAATCAAAAATTGCATTCAGGATATTGATACGTCTTATGGACAATTGGGAATCGTTAAGAGCCCGGAAGTAGGGTTGAAGTTTTTACTGGTTTCATGAGTACATTATTGACTTTACAGGAATTGCTTGCTCAAGAGAAATCTCAGACATCAAATTCTAACAACGAGGAAGTTGACCTTGACGAGTTGATGGATGTAGGTTTATTGATTGGGGCCTTTCCATAATGCATATTAATGCTCGTGATTTTCGCTAATGTTTGCTTACCTGGGTCAGGATCCAGAGCTGGAAAAATTGCATGCAGATAGAATTGCAGCTCTCAAGGTCTGAGTTTGTGTATAATTGTTTATATATGTTCCATTACTATCATCATCTGCAGTCTACAGTACTTCATGAGCCGCCAAGTAAAGTTTTCAGAGACTCAAAAAGTGTTTTTCTTGTTTAAGTTCCCATTACCATGGAACTTGAGACTTTGATTTGTGTGTACCAAACTCTCAGCCTTTGAAAAAACAGGATCATTTTGCCAACTCTCACGAATAGTTCATACATTTATATTATAATTTGTTTTAGCAGAAGGAAGCTGAGAAGAGGGAAGCAATGAAGAGACAAGGGCATGGGGAATACAGAGAAATAACTGAAGGAGACTTTTTGGGAGAAGTCACCGGGAGTGAAAAAGTGATTTGCCACTTCTATCATCATGAATTCTACCGCTGCAAGTAAGTCTTTCAATTTCAAATCCCTTACTAATCCAATTGATGCTTATATTGTAAAAGTCTCACATTGGATCCTTCGTTCTTAGGATTATGGATAAGCATTTGAAGACTCTTGCACCAAAACATTTAGACACAAAATTCATCAAGCTAGATGCAGAGGTCAGTATAAATCGTTTAGTCTAACAGCAATATCTGCTCTTTCTGAACCATGTGAAGAACTTGTAGTGGCTAATCATCTAAAAGCAAATTGCAGAATGCACCCTTCTTTGTTACCAAACTTGGAATCAAGACTTTGCCTTGTGTTATTCTCTTCAGGTAACATCATTTCCTTGGCCCATTGATTCTTGTAGGCATACCTTTTTAGTTTGTGGAAGGCATCATATAAGGGTAGGTAGAGCACTCTATTGGTTGCTAATAAGTCATTAGAAAAGGTAAATAGCATAAAAGACAGCCTCAGATACTCGGATCGTGATAATGTGACCCGAGTATTGTTTAGAGAGCTAAAAAAACTACTGTTTATGTCTAGTTCTAAGTCTGGTGGGTTTGTGCGTAAGAATCTGCTTTGAAGGACGTTGATCTTTGGCTGCAGGAAAGGCATTGCTACAGATAGGCTTGTTGGGTTCCAAGATTTAGGTGGAAAAGATGATTTCAGTACAAAGACACTAGAAATTTTATTGACAAAGAAAGGTGATGTTCCTATCAAATGCGTTATTTTAACTCTCAACAATGGCGTTTGTCTGACTAAAGACTCAAAATACAGGTTTCATCAGTGAGAAAAAGGATGAAGAGGAAGACGAGTACGACGAAAGTAGGCGAAAGGCGGTGAGATCTTCTACCAACGTCGATTCCGACTCAGATTAGGCAACAGAGTTTGTTTGCCTTCATTAAATTACAAAGATATGTGTAGAAATTAATGTTCTGTCAACATGTTGAGTATTTTGTAAGTGAACTCCCAAATCAAACATAGTCTACAAGCTATTGTCATTGAAGTATAATTATTTTTTTTGTACGGAGAGCATGGGGCTCGAACTTTTGACCTCAAATACTGAATTATATCTTAATTATTGTTGTACTATACTCATATTTAAAAACATAATTTTCTTAATTATCTCAAAATATTATTTTTTTAATGAAATTATCATTTAGAATTCATTAGATGACAGCAATTTCATGGACGAATTGAATTTAAACGCTCTTATTTTTTAAGTCAAGACTTAAATAAACTAACATTCAATTGAATGTGATTTTTTTTAAAAAACCCAAAAAAATAGAAAGTTGAAAAATTGAGAAAATAAACTGGTAATGGAAAAAATTGTTTTTTTTATGTAATTATTAAACTTTAATTCATTAGTTATTAAGGAGTATACCAAATTTTGGCGTTTAAATCGAATAATTTTTTTTAATTTGTTGGTAGTTAAATTAAATTATTATTATTATTTTCATTGTGAAAATAATAGCCCAAAAATAACTTTATTTAAAAATGAATATCTATAATAAAATAATTTACAAGAAAAAGAGTATGAGGAAGTCAAATTGAGGGTGTAGGCGCGTGGCGACACAAGAAAGCAGGTGTAGGGAAGAGAAAAATGGAGCAGCACACAGGAGATCTATTTGCCGGGAAAGATCCAGGAGACGTTAAGGTAGTTGGGCATAGAGGGCAAGGTAGGAGAGGAAGGCCCTGGCGTTTCGCCGGAATCAATATTGTTAAGATATCGATGGATATCCATGGGGCGACCTCGTCAATGGCTCTGATTCTGAAACAACAAATCTCATTCTCTTCTATTATCAGTAACCAAACAAACCCCTTTCTCTCTCCTCCCAATCGCCCCCTTCTCTTATGCTCTCTAATCCTCTAATCTTCTTCTCTCTCAACCCCCTCTTTCTTTCTCTTCCCTCCATTTAATCTCCCCCCTCGCCGCTCACTTCGCTTTCCTGCCCCTCACATTACTCCTTCTTGCGTTTCTCATTGGTAATTTCTCTGCGCCTCTCTCATTCTTTCCCTTTCTTTTCTCTCCTTCGTAATTTCTCTGCGCCTCTCTCAGGTCTCTTTCCTGTTAGTTTCATGTTTTTTTATATGCATTTTGTTTAATGTCGTTTGTTTCTCGCGTTTTCGTTTAGATTTGTGGCCGTTTAGGTTCAAGATCGGAAGTTTTTGAAGTGGGGTTTGATTTTTTTGTTATGATTTTTGAAGATCTTGATATTGGTTTGGGTTTTTTTTTTTTTTTTTTTTTTTTTTTTTTTTTTTTTTTTTTTTTTTTTTTTTTTTTTTTGCAGGCCGGGCATTAGGAGATGAATTGAAATCTTATATTGTTAGATATGAGTGCTTGATTCGTCTCTTTGATGCTAACCTGTTTCCATTAGCAAACCCGAGAATACACCATTATGTCCGGACCGTTCTTTTCCAAACCAGGTATATGCTTCCAATCCCTTCGGTTTTATTTGTTCTTCCATTATGAACCGTTCCTCGTTTTCTTTTCTTTATTGTTCTTTCCGTTATGAATCTTTCCCAGTTTCGGTTATGAATCTTTCGTTTTGGATACAAGAATTTTGCAAGAATGTTCAGATGAATGAACATTGAAAACATAGATTGGATGGTTTCAGGGAAGAGATTGTTGGAGCTGAATAGATTGAAAACATAGATAACTTGATTGGATAGTTTCAAATTATAAAAGATAATCTCCCATTCTTTTTTTTTACAGCTCTTGATGGATCTGATGTTGAGAACTCCGAGGATGAAAAGAATTCATCCATTGGGTCCTTCAAGCAAAAGGCAGTTAGTGCCTCCTCCAAGTTCAGACATTCTATGATAAGAAGGGGCAGGAGAAGTAGTAAAGTCGCATCTGTGGAAATTGAAGATGTGCGCGACACAGAGGAGATGCAGGCTGTTGATGCCTTTCGCCAAGTGTTAATATTGGAGGAACTGCTTCCTGCCAAGCATGATGACTATCACATGATGCTCAGGTTCTGTTGATCATCAACCAGAACCATATGTATTTTTTACTTTTCTTTTCAGTTTTTATGTTGTAGTCTTAAAAAACTCCTTTGGACATAGATTCATGAAGGCCAGGAAGTTTGATATTGAGAAAACAAAGCAAATGTGGTCTGACATGCTCCAGTGGCGTAAAGAATTTGGCGCTGACACCATAATGGAGGTATTTGACGTAGTGTATAAGAATTACCTGATTTTAGAACTCCTGAATTGAACTCACTGACATTTCTTCAATTTTTTGGTCTCTGCTCAAGGATTTTGTATTTGAGGAGCTGGATCAGGTCTTAGATTACTATCCTCAAGGGCACCATGGTGTAGATAAGGAAGGACGGCCAGTATACATTGAGAAGTTGGGAAAGGTGGATTCCACAAAGTTAATGCAAGTCACTGATCTTGATCGCTATCTCAAGTACCATGTACGGGAGTTTGAGAGGACATTCACGGTCAAGTTTCCTGCCTGTTCAATAGCTTCCAAGAAGCACATAGATCAAAGCACAACAATCTTGGATGTCCAAGGAGTGGTACGTATGTCCAAATTACTATTTCTAGGGAATAATTAGTATATGATACTGATGGGCACTCACTTTGAATAAATTTTGAGGCCCTTGTTCTCTATGTAAAACTGATTTGATAGGGACTTAAAAGCTTCAATAAGACCGCTCGGGAGCTCATCTCCCGCCTTCAGAAAATAGATGGCGAGAACTATCCAGAGGTATTGTGGAACGTTTGGTTTTCAGTTTTATGTAATGTTCATTTTTGTCTTTACCAAATCTGTGACTAAACGTGAATGCAGACCTTGAATCGTATGTTCATCATTAATGCCGGTTCCGGATTTAGAATCCTGTGGAATACTGTAAAATCTTTTCTAGATCCAAAAACCACTGCAAAGATCAATGTAAATATTCTTCTCTGATATCTGTTTTTCAGAGTTGAATGTTGCACAGGTAATTAATTAGTGACTTGCCCAGGTTCTTGGAAATAAATACCAAAGCAAGTTGCTGGAAATTATTGATTCCAGGTATGCTTCTTAAGAGTCAGTAAACTTTCACGAATAGTATAAACTTCACTCTTCCAATGATTAGCTTGAGACTTTTCTGATATATGTTGCACCAGTGAGTTGCCAGAGTTTCTCGGAGGCACCTGTACCTGCGCCGATCAAGGAGGATGCATGCGTTCTGATAAAGGTCCATGGAAGGACCCAAATATATTAAAGGTCCCAATTGATATCTCCACAAAATGTTGTTTTCCATCTTTGATTAATGGGCATCTGACTTTTACCGTTGCTTAGTTTTTTAAAAATAATTGATGGACTTGCAGATGGTCAACAATGGAAATCATAAATGTTCAAGTAAATCTGGGGACAACATGGTTTATTTCCTTAAGCTTCGAACTTTTGTCTTTCTGGTTTCTTCTTTTGAGTCTCCATTTTGCTTCTTAGTTCTTCATAATTGATGAATTATTTTGGTATTTGTTCTGTAGGGGAATCACTCACCTGATGTTAAGGGTGTCTGCTCCATCTCTCATTTGAAGTATTCACCACTCTCTCCTCTCCATGAGGTAAATGTGCAAGAATTCAGGATTTGTTTGATATTGATGGCTTTTAGTCTAGGATGTAAGAATCTAATGTCCTCTAGAATTACAAGCAAGTATAATACAGACTCGATTTATCTCTGTTCCTTGGTGGTGGGTTTGATCATTGCATGTGATAGAAGATTTCAAACTGGATGGGTTGACGATAAACTCATGATTTTCATGAATTTCTTTGCTGGTAGAATCTATTCTCTAGAGATAGCTTAGCTGACAGAAGAAAAAACATGATAGGTTCCGATTATCAAGAATATTCAAGTACCTTACAATGAGGATTGTGTCCCGGTGGTTGATAAATCTGTGGATCTTACATGGAAAATGGTGTCAGAAAAGAACATGCCTGCCTCTTCCAAAGGTATATTATTTTATTTAGTTACTCAATTTCATCTCACATTGTAGAAAGCATTTAGATAATTTTTCTCCTCCTTGCACCAATGGGTTTTCCTATAGCTGGTTCAGGGGAAGGCCCTGGGGGTATTAAATCTAAGGTTCTTGCTACTATTGTGGCCTTCATAATGGGAATTTCTGCTACGGTGAGATTGGCTCGCACCATGCCAAAGAAGCTCTCTAATGCCTCCATATACTCCAAACCGATTTTTAAGGGTCAGGGTCAGCCACCTTTATTTGAACCATTGCCTGATTACATGTCCACCGTAAAACGCATGGCTGAATTGGAAGAGAGAGTGAATAACCTATGCAATAAACCTGCTGACATGCCTCGCGAGAAAGAGGAGCTTCTGAATGCTACAATGATCCGCGTTGAAGCCCTTGAACAGGAGCTTACCACATCCAAGAAGGTATCAGTTACTATTCCTTTAACTTGGCTGCATAGTTTTTTTTACCTCTTTTCCTCAGTGATCATCAGTAGTTGTTTACATAGGTTTTGGAGGAAACAGTGGCTAGACAAGCAGAGATCTTTGCTTATATTGAGAAAAGGAAGAAAAAGAAGAAACTGGTAATCCTCTACTACTACTTGACCAACAACCATATCATTGTTTTACATGTGAGAGAGATGTTCGCATAAATTTTGGTTGGGATATTTATTGTATGCAGATTCCATTCCGCTGGTGAAGGGATGAAATGGCAGCCATGAGCAGCAGTTGGGCAATCGCCCCGAACGCCGTCTCTGCACTCTCTGTGTGTTTGAACCAGAAAATGTAAATCAAAAAGTTTCTGGTGGAGTTGTTTAAAATTTTATGTACACATTTATTTTTTGATGTAAAACTGAATCCGTCCAAGATTAACCAAAAGAAGAAGAAATCCCATCCTCAAAAGTAACGGGGGATGTAAATTCATGAAGTTTCTGCAAGAAATGAAATGCTGCAACACTTGTGTTTTACAAAGCAAATGCTTTGAAAATGGGAAATACAATCAAAAAGCTTATTATTTGAAAATGATCTCACTCACTCCACCAAACAACCATTATTGACACTTGTTCTTCTTTCTTAAACTGAACTGGAACAGGCTATACAACGAGCACAGCAACAAGAAAAACCCCATTAAATTCTCATCAAG